GTTCTTGTTTGAGTTATTTTACGAGTTTTATTGGCTTTTATTGGCAACGAGATTTGAATTTTTCAAAACGACACTTGCTCACATTTTGTGAAATTTTTTGTACACGAGTATTTTGTTGCTTGCCGCCTAATCGCAGCCAGCTGCCGCATAGTTAGTCATTTTTTATGGCCAAGTCTGTCCTGGCCAGGAATTGCCTGCAGCTCAAACAGGTGGCGGCCACCATGGATGCTGTTTGTTGTCGCTATTCCTGCTCTCATTGTTGTGTGATTTCTGTTGATTGCAGTTTTATTGCCAAAGTTTTGCTGACTGTAAATTTTTTTTTTATATATTTTTTTTAGCTATACATGTAAGTCGTTTTATTTGATGATAACACAACTAACTGCTAATTAACTTACGCTGCTTAAGCGTTAAATGTTATGGCCAACCATCAGGGATATGTAAAAAAAAAAGAAAGCTAACAAACAAACAAACAGAAAAAATAACCGCAAACAAATCGCTGGCATTCAGAGTGTGCCGCATAATGGCAGACAACTTGCTAATTTTCATGCGCCATTTAAGGTCTGCCTTGAAGTGCGCTGCAGACTTGTCAGCCGCCAAGCAGACAGGCCACAGCCTTTGAGTTTCCAGCATCCCTTGGATAGAGTCACTTTTTTCTACAACTTACTCAGCATTCGTCGAAAGTTTGCCACTTTTCTTTCCACATATATACCCTGTAGCTAAAGACTTTAATGGCTTTATGCATTCGTGCTGTTGTTTGTAACCTCAGAACCTCAAGAAAGTTTGACAACTACAAGTAGAGTCGCAGGACTTGGTATGGAATAAGTTTTGATTTTCCAACTAACCATAAGCTTCTCATACATATGTATATCTCTAATTAACTCACTTATTATTGTACCTTTTTGATTTGTGTTGAAATTTAAATATTTCTTGCTTACTTTCTGATTTCTATACTCCGCTTTAACTCACTAGAACTGATTATCAAAATAATTATAATGCTTTGTGTTGAAATTTTAATATTTCTTGGTCACTTTCTGCTTGCTATGCTCAGCTTTAACTAACTAGAACTGATTATAAAAATAATTTTTTTTAATAAACAATGAACTACAACTTTCTGAGTCAGGGTATTCTAGAGTCGCACAGACACTATTCTGGCACTTCCAAATTTTTTCTACGGCTGTCACGAATTCACTTGACAACTCTTTCTATGCGGCACGTTGCCGAGCTCGTGGAACTACTTAAAATTCAGTGTTGCCATAAACATCCAAAACAGCCGCCAATGCGATTTAACGATATGTCAGAGAGATTAAGGGGCTTATAGTGATAACGAGCGCCAAGCGCAATTAATTGGCCCTATTATGAAAATGAGCGCAAATGAGCCGCAATATTTTGGCCGACAAACAATTCGGTTATATACATACATATGTGGAGTGGGGGGAGCAGAGCGTAATTTCCGTAGTTGTGTAAAAATGCAATAATAACTGCTATACAATTTTATAAAAATATCATTTGGGCATGTAATAAAGACCGCCAGCGGCGTTGGCGGCAAACAAAGCAAACAATGATTGTCTCCAAATAAATAATAATAATAAAAAAAACAACAGTTTCAAGCTCAACAACTCATGGCTAAGTGCTGAGAGTGCGTGGGTGTTGGGTGTAGGCAAGTGTGTGTGTGTCAGTGTGCGTGTGTGTGTGTGTGGGGCCAAGGCAAAGGCGGATGTACAAATTGCAAAACATAATTCAAATTGTTTGACTTTTTGACAATGACTGCGCCAGTGAGGATGTGTATGTGTGTCCTATGAGTGCACCACTTCGAATCCTTGCAAGTGCTTTTATCTTAGCAGCATATGTGTATGTGATTACACTCTGAAAAGTTCCCTAGAAGTTGAGCCATTACCTAATGGTACCTTAAGACATTATAAGTAAAAACGCTTTGCAGAACTAAAATCTGTTATTTGTAAATGGAAAATTATAATTATAACAAATTTTCATTTCACAGTCCTATGTTGGACTCTAACAATTAAAACGCACTCAAGCTATGTATAACAAATGTTATTTAATATTTAATATTTTTAATATTAATATTATTTAATATTACTCAAGCGAAGATTGGATTAAAATTGATTTTGCTTAAATTTGTGTAGATTTCCGTGAAAAAAGAACAAGTTTGTTTTAAAACACTTTTATAATTTTGGGATCAGGGATCTATTCGAATGAGCCAGCAATAAGAAAATTCGTCTTATAAATCAGGTCTATCAGCAAATTTGTAGACTAAAATTGAGATATGGCAAGTTTTAAGAACTTTCAGAAATTTAAAAGTCCGTGGTTGAGGTCAGCAAGCTCGAGGCTCTTGAAGTTTCTACAGTTGAAGAGCCGCTCTTAGGCTATTCGAGTCTATATAACGACCGACTACTGGTTGTTACTAGGAGCATCATGGAACAGCCCCAGTCCTATTTGACGAATACAAATTGGAACGATAACGCACCATTTCTGTTAAACAAGTGCCATTTGCAAATCGTAATTAAAAATGAGAAATAAAACAAAATGCAATTTAATATTACTATGAAAGGTTTGTTACTCAAGTGCAGTCCTAAATGATAGTTATTTTTCTCCCAGTGCAAAACAATAGCTGTCGGGTTTTGCCTGGCGCCGCCAGAGAGCTAAGTAATATTTTCCTTTTTCGGCGCTATTTATTTAAGCTTCATATATTGAAATGCTTTAAGAGTAACACTTCAGCTCTTTACATTGCTTATATGAGAAACATTAATTAGTTAACTGTCAAAAAGTGCGCTTAAAAAGCAATTAAATGTGATTAGCATAAGTTGGTGCATGCAGACACACACACACACACACATTCACACTCGCACTCACACACATACCATACAAGTCCACTTCATATGCATGGTGTTCGTATTTTGTTTTAAAATCCATTGCATACTTTTTGGCTGCGCTTTTAATTTTAACGCTGTCGAAGGGATTTCTGCGGTTTTTGGACCCACCAGCATACAGAATGGCAAACAGCCATTTGACTTAATTAGTTGGCACAGAGCTGCCCCGCCCACCACACACACACACAGCCCACCCAATCCAACCGCCCGCGCTTTGTGCTTAGCGCTTTTTGCGGACCAACTGAGTTGCATGCAACCGCCCAAAAACTATGAATTTATTTGACACTTGAATAAATGCGGTTTTTTGGTTTGGCGGCTGCAAGACAACGAAAAATGGCAGCACATATTTTTGGGATTTTTCACATTTTAGACAAAAATGCCTGCCCACCACTACACGCACACACACACACACACATACACCAAACTCAAGAGTCGCTGCGGGTTTTGGTTTTGGTGTTGGCGTGTGCTTTCAGCATGACCGTGATATATAACCCATGTCGTGTCGTTGTCATGTCTATGTTCGATTCGCAGCGTCCTGCCGCATTTCCGTTTCCTGATTTTCTTAGCCGAACAACTACCTCCCAGTTGGAGTGTGTAAGCACTTAGCGTTTTCTAAAATACCATTTTCGCTATCTAATTTATGAATGCACGCGTAATTGTTAAGAATGTGAGTGTGTGTGCGAAATGTCTGCCAGCACTTCAATGATGTCATATTAGTAGCAAAATAACAAACTATGTGCATAGAGACTTAAGTTGAAAATATTGTGATCGCATTTAAGACTTTTTTATAAAGTTTGTATTTCAAGAAAAGCGTATGTCTTTCAATTTGGAGCAATGATTACAATTTATTGCAGTTCTACTTGTAATTAAGGAACAATTAAAACTATGTCGCTTAATACAAAACTTATAAAATAAACTTTATAGATATGAAAAGGTAAAAGGTAAAGGAAATCCAGCCGCTCTTCCAGACAGACGCGCGGACAGATGGACGGACTTGTCTAGATCGATTTCTCTCGTCATGCTGATTAATAATATGTACACGTTATGAGGTCGGAGATGCTCCCTTCTGTCTATTACATACTTTGTACAAGCCGTATTAATATAACATTTTTACTCTACGAATACAAGGTATAAAAATTGTACTACTATATATTCTATATTTTTCTCGATTCTGTCAGAGAAAAGGGTGTGAATGCTTTAAATCAAGTGTGATGTAGGATTTTACTGATTATTTGAAAATTTCCAATGCATTTATATTCATAATGATAACATATTTATGCCCCGTAGCCAAATTGTAAAAGCGTATACCTGCCTGCAGCCGTATATATGTATATTCTTAAAATTAATTGCATTTATTAATTTTATTAAAAAGTGTTGTTTTTGTGGGAGTGGGTACAGAGTATTTAACAGTTGAGCCCACTCGAATGAGCTTAGCTTTCTTGTTTTACTTAAAGTATAAGCTAAAAACAGACTAAAAACGAAATCGAAAAAAATAAATAAAAAAAAATTCTTTTCAAACCAAATAAATTGTTTTATTTTTCCTGAATATCGACCCCAAACTAAAATAGAAACATTTATTATTTATTTATTATTGACGTGAGCATAAATTTAAAAATGTACTTGATTTGAAGTAAAAAGTTAATATACAGATTCACAATGTGTCTTTATTTCAACATCAACACACCCATAAACTATCTATATGTGATTCCTAACTGACCTGCCGCAACAATCTGAATTTTAGGCGACCTTGCCCAAAAGGCAAAAAAAGTAGCCACTACTCAACTATTATTGTTATAGCCATCTACTCACAGAGGTAATTTGTCGATTTGTAAGCTAAGCGGCAAATATCCAAATCATAGGCTGATATGCCAATTAAAATTCCGGATACCTTTTGGATGTTTTCACTTGCACTGCAAGCACCGCACGCATAGCACGGAAAGCACACCAAAAATAAAATATTGTTGAAATGTTAAACCACGAAATGAGGCACGAAATGCCTTGCGTTTGTTTTGACTTTTTAATACGTACATTAGCATGCCGTGCAAAAGTTCGCCGTTCAATTAAACGTAGCAAATCGATTGAAAGTGCGACACTCGGGCTATTGACAAGCGGAGCTCAGTACGGCCAACCAAGCTGATCAGCAACAACGTCTCACGCGCTCGACGTATATATAAGTAGTATATTTCTTAAATCAGAATTATGTTCACAGCCCTGTTGATCTTCATTGGCGGCTACACACTTGCCTGCTATCTCTACGAGCATTTGCGAACGCCTCTCCGCTTATTGGTGAATACCATATGTGAAGAAAGCAGGAGTGTGAAATTTGAATATGGAGAATGGGCAGCTATTACGGGTAGCAGCGATGGTATTGGCAAGGCCTATGCCAAGGAACTGGCAAGTTATGGCGTTAATATAGTGCTTATAGCCAGGAATGAAGAAAAGCTGAAGGCTGTGGCGCAAGAAATTTGTAAGTAATGAAAAGAAGTGAATATGAAGTTAAATATTAATTGCACGCATAAACATTTGAAGAGCCTTTAAAATACTAAAGAGCATCGTTAATAATTAATCCGATATTAATTTTTCATATCTTTCCAAATTGCAAATACTTGTCAAAAACAATGCAAAACAAAGTACAAACTGAAGCCTCAATCCAAGGGCGTATGTACGTATTTTAATTAAAAAAAAAAAAAACTTTAAAAATGTATCCGCAAAAACTATGAACCATTGAACTATTTTTACCCACCGGGCGCCAATTAGAATTCATTTTAGGCAGTACTTAATGTGATAATTCAGTCCGTAACGCTTGTGGTAATATACTATACATATTGACCCTCGATTAAACTGTGATTAGAAAATTTGAATTTTTAATTTTTTGAATGAATAAATTGTGGAAAAAGTACAGTGGGGCAGGTCTGATGGAGCTATTTTAAATAGTGGCAGACATTCTTTAACATTTGCTTGAATAATTGTTCCTTAAACTTTTCGTACATGGTGGGACTGGGACTTTAACCCTTGCTTTGCTTGGCAATATTTTCACCCTTTGTCTTAGCTCCTTCCAACTACATATTTTCATGAAGAGGCTGCGCACCCCACTGATTAGTATCTCTTTCCCAGCGCTCTCTGAAATCTGTTAATCTGTTATTGTAAATAGAATTGGAAATGCTTATCCTTTTATCACCTTTACAGCTAACGAGTACAAGGTGGAGACCAAAATTGTTGTAGCGGACTTTACAGAAGGCATAGCGGTCTATGACCGTATCGAGAAGGAGTTGGACAAGGTGCCAGTCGCCATATTAGGTAAATAGACATTTTTCCATGGATGTGATTGGAATATATCCCATCCATATACATCCAACTTATACTCTATAGTCAACAACGTGGGCATGTCTTCGGAAACACCCGGACCACTCTTCAAGTCCAGTCGCGAGCACGTCCAACACATCATTGACACCAATGTGGGTGCCGTGTCCCATCTTTGCCGCTACATTCTGAAACGCTGGCGGGAGAACAATATCAAGGGTGCCATCGTGAATGTCAGCTCTGGCACGGATCTGCAACCCGTGCCGTATGCTGCACTCTATGCCGCCTCCAAGGCCTACACTCGCAGCCTCACCCAAGCACTGCAATGGGAGGCGCATAAAGATGGGATCCTGGTACAGCTGCTATCACCCAATTTCGTAGTGACCAAAATCAATAGCTACTCGAAGCGAATTATGGGCGGTGGCCTATTTATACCATCGGCTGAGGATTATGCCCGCAGTTCCGTCGAACAGCTGAGAGTTAGAATCGATGAGACGCCCGGCTTTTTCTGGCATCATGTACAGAATGCGCTCATAACTCTGCTGCCCACTCGTTTGCGCATATATGTGGTGCAAACATTCTTCCAGGTCATTGTTGATAAGAAGCATGGAAATACTTTTAGTCCGGAGACATAAGTTATAACACTCATCTGGTATCTGTACAGACTCATTTCAATTTCTTGCTCATGTTTTTGCAACTGTGTGTTTTACTATATATAGTTTAATGATCAAAAACTAAAATATATATGGTTGATTAATTCGTTTTTAATACAATTTTTAATTAATTGTGTTTTATTAAATAAATTTAAAGTTCATAATACTATTAATTAAGAAAAATGCAAGCTGTCTATTTGTTCGTTATCTTTAGAATTCTGCTGAACTTGAACTCTATCTCATATAATGTATCTCTTTTAAAGTAATTCAGCGAATTCATAACTCTTTAAGCTTATTCAATAGATCGCTCATAAAATAAAAATAGATTTATAACAGAATATAACAGAACAGGTTATATACTTCCGACAAAAAAAAATATAGAAATTGTGTGATTATTAAGATCTAGATGTAAGGCAATTTTAATTTTATTCTTTACTTCTGTATAAGCTGGAGTATTATTTATTTCTGGGATTCTTTAAACATTTGTTTACTAGATGAATATATTGTATAGGTAGCGTAACATACAGTATAACAGTTATAGATTCTTGCATAGAGACCAAGCGTGCTCGAATCGATAGTCTTATCCATAAATTTTCGAAGTTATTCATAACTTTAGTTTCCTCATAGAAAACCCTTTCATGTAGTCATCACAAGCAAAGTGATTCGTCTAAGGGTTAATTGTAAAGCTCTGCTCTTGCGTCTGCAGGTTGCAGTAGCTGCTAAATGCTGGTTGAAATCTCTGCTGACTGGCTTCTGCCTCGGCTAAAGTGTGTGGACGTATCGTAAAAGCTGCTGCAAGTTGCGTGTAAGAACTGCCGAGGAACGCCTTTCCGTGTCAAAATCAATAATAGTGTGCGATAAGGTGCGCTCGGCTGAGCACCCTCGGGAAAGTAGCGCTAGATACTAACTAATCAAATGGTATCAAATTTTAGAAATAAACTTTACATAAACTTGACATAGTGACATAAGTAGTTCACCTGCAGGTATAACTAGTAAGTTCTTTATAATGTCTTTAATTAATTCGGAAACACTTGAAGACGTGCTGAGCGGGCAGTAGCGTTTGCTTTTGAAATACATTTTAAAACTCACACACACGCCTAATTATAGCTGCCAAGTGTAAACATTTCGAGTAATGCTTTCTCATTATCGTTTCCTTAGTTTTGTTGCTGCTGTCCACACTAACGACTTGCTAAAATTCACATTGAAATTTTCATTTATTTAGCCAATGTATTTACCCTTGAGGTTTCACAAAGCAAATTCAAAATGGAAAATGGACACGTTGGGTGCAATACTAATTAAGTGTTAATTCAAGTGTGCTTGCAATAGTTACATTATTAATCTGACAATTTAAAGGGAATAAGTCCAGCTTATTGACTTGCAGCCTAATTATAACTCCGATTTATTATTAATATATGAAGTGTTAATTTATTTGTTCACTATTTTTTATTATATATTATATTACTCTATTTTGTGGTGGTATTATAAGAGAAAACCGTTTACCACTTTTTTTAATTTAAAACTATATTTTAGGTATCCTAGAATATATATAGATATTAAAGGCACTTTGAAACACAATTAAAATAGAAAATTATTTGTTAAACTTGGTTTTTTATATTTATTGTATTGCTATATTTCTTTTTGGATACTATTCTTAGTGCTGGCCAGTCGCAGAGAAGCTGCTCAACGCTTTCCTCCTCTTCTTCAACTGTGCAGCTTCTGAAAACTCCAAGAAAGGGATAGTTAATATTAGGATTATGTGAAGATCAGAGAGAACCTTCTTTATTATTAACTATATGTTCTATATTATTATACTATAGATGTGCACAGATTTTTCAGGCTTAGCTTCGAGTGAACTAACAACGAAAACACCAAAATTTATTTCTTTGCATTGCCTGTTTTAGTTCAATACGTCTTTCATTTTCAATAGCTTGTACATAATGAGAAATAGCTATCAACACCTCTGTTGCTAAATCTTCTACATCCAAGTCATTTTTTAAAGTATAGAAAAATGAAATACTCTGACGGGGCTAAATCTGATAAATAGCGTGAATGGGGAAGATAATCGAACTTAAACTGATCGAGTTATTACTTAATAATTCAAAACTCAGAAGTTTAAGGTGGTTGGAAAAATAATTAGAACCGTTGGTGTCCACTGAAGGGAGATTTTACGGCATATACATATCAAATAATAAACTAACTGCCTACAGATAAAAACTTATTAAAAATTTAGCAATAAATATCAGTTTATCATTCAAAAATACTTTTGCTGTAAAGTAGATTTTTCAAAAGCAAAATCAAGTAAAAGAAGCAGCTCACTAAACAATATATAGAAGAATAAATTCCATTACAAAAAACATTAATTTATCATGCATGCTTTTGAAACTTAATCAGAGTGGTGTCAAAAAGTCAATCAGAAACATGAAAAATCTTGATGAAGCCCACTAATTGTTTTCAATTAAATAAACATTGCATGTGATTCCACAGACACACCTTGCATTATCTCGCCTCCATCAAGTAAGTGCTGCAAATTACCAAAAACAAATTTCGGATATTATTACACAAAATGTTTTGGCGAGATTCGAAAGTCGAGCATTTATGCAAAGCTGAGGTCACGTATAGAGTGAAATTAGCAGTCTTGTGATCCGCTTCCTCCCTCTTTTTATATCTGTGTTCAAAAACTTTGTCACAGTTCACCATGCCACACGGTAATTACTTAAATAATTAAGCGATTTTGTAATTTCCACACCAACTTTAAACTTAGCTGAACATTTACAAAGCGCCAAGCGCCAACATAAAAAAGAAAAGACCCCAAAAAATATAGTTTATGAAATAATGAACCGTCAAAAAACTGAAGACAAACGACAGCCACAGCCAAGTGCATGTTTTTTTTTTTTTTGTTGCTTTTTGTTGCTTTTTTCTTACAACTCTTACATGTTGGAGTCGAAAAAGCCGAAACCGGGGAGCTGTTCGTGGCCCGCTTGCCAGGCTTCGACTTGGCTGACTGCTTTATGTTCAGTGCGAGATCGACGCTCAAAGCCGTAGCTTGTGCCCCAAGCTCGACAATTTCAAGACCGACGCGTCTACTAATCCCGCTTGAAAATGTGTAGAGTTTTTGACTAAAGTCTGAAATTATTCATATATAGTAGTACAGAGATTGTGCGAGCTAGTGCTTTATAATTGTATATCAGTGTGCAGCATGTGTGTCCCCTGCTGATTAGGCATTATACATAATACTCCGGGGCTGCTATATTGCTGATAGCTGGCCGCTTATCAATTACAACACAGTATTCTCATCATTCATATTTATAAACATTTTAAAACATGCAGCCCGCTTTGGAATTAAGCATTTATACATTGCTACGCATGGCGTTCATTTGGCAGCTGATTTCGACGGCCATTTATGTGGTCGGCAGCCTGGCCATTGCTGCCTTTCTCTACGACAACTTCAAGTCCTTGGTCTGCATCATAAAGGCCCTGCTGGAGCCCTACTTCCAGCCGCAGTTGCCACAGACCTTGCTGGATAAATACGGCAAATGGGCGGGTAAGTCTTTTTTCCATACATACTCGTAGTTGCGTGTTAATTCAGAACGATAAAGGGCCCTCTCCGATGCGTAAAGCTTTCACATATTGAACGAAGCTAACTTCATGAAAGCAAAAGTATTCAAATGAATACAACAAACATTTAGCAAAGATTTTAGGCATGAACTCATCAGTTACTTTTAATTCAGATCGATAAAGGGCCCTCTCAGATGCGTAAAGCTTTCACATTTATGAACGAAGCTAACTTCAAGAAAGCAAAAGTATTCACATGAATACAACAAACATTTAGCAAAAATTTTAGGCATGAACTCATCAGTTACTTTCGTTTTTGGAATTGTTTACAATTTAATGCGAACTCTGTTGAAATATAAATTGTTTTTGCGCTGATTTTGGGTAAATTTAATTTACTTTTGAAAACAAGTATAACAACTGGTTTTAAAATCAATTGCAGTGCATTCGATTTAATTTGCATTTATTTATTTTTATTTTTTTGAACAGTTGCTAATTTCTAAAGCAACTACTTATATAATTAATTGAAAGGCATTTGGGTGTTATAGTCGTCTTAAGGCATTTAATTTCGTAACAAAGAAATTATTGTACTTTAATTTTGTCTGGCTTCACAAAGAAAAACATAATGTTTTAAATGTTTTCATGTTTGTTAATCTACACTTAATTCCAAATACGTTGTAAATTATTATTATTTGTATAATTTTTTGAGAAAACAAAGCATTTCATATTTTTGCTCTTTCTTCAATTTCTTCAATTTCTTTTATGTGTCGAAACATAGTTTTGATTGGGTTATTTTTCTTGTTTTCTTAACATATTTTTTCTTATTTGCTGGCATTTATACTCAAAAATATTAAAAGCCTAGGCTGGTGTATACAATTTCTCTGGGATTATTGTTAGCCAGACGTACTTGTATGTATTTATTAATTTTCTTTAATTAATTTAATGAACACTCTTTGCCAATCAACAATGGCTAGCCAACATTGATTATTAAACATATATAATTTGTTATAATGCCTTCATATTAGCACACCCCCATTATTAATAAAAAGTTCGTGCATAAAATATGAATGCCATAGGCAAGAATGCAATTTTCTTATAACATAATTCAGATGCAACACAATGTGCAATTGGAAATAGCAATTAATGCTTACAATACAAATCATACAAACCTTTTGCATAGAAATTGCTAAATCATGATGAGTTTTACGTGTCGATAAGAAATGTTCAATTTATCAGCTATATTCTCTTCTCTACAGACATATATTGACCTATGGACATACTACAATAGTATGTTGAGCTTCGATAATACGCACCTCTATTAACCGGGAACAACCATTAATAAAGGTGCTGAGCGATTGATTTTGTATCGCTATTAATCCACGACTTATTTTCGTTATTCACGATTTATTTTCTTTATTATAAACATAGTTCACCAACTCTAAGAGAATGAGTTCTGAGCAATCAAAACTCATATGGGTTCAGTCAATAGAGCCTATCAATATTCTGTTAAAATACTTAGAAGCTATATTTTTCTAAGGTTTTCAGATCCAGATAAACTACAAAGGCATCGCATTTATTTACTAATTTTATTTCTTAAATAAATGCTCTATTTCATGAAATAGAATTACATGTATTTTTTATATGTGATCTTATTCGTAATGAGCTCGATCAAGAATAATCAAGGCACAACTGTACTTACTTTTACGTAAGAAATATATACATACGTTTGTCCATAGTCGTCCGATTTTATTAACATCTTAAAATAAAACCAATATATGTTTGTTTTCTTGTTATTAGGTATTAAAATACAAGAATTTCGTTGTTACATATTTCTTGAATATTTCACATTTTCAGCCGTTTGTTAGAACTAATCCAATTTCTTCATCGTAGCTTTCTATGGCAATTGTAGTATAGAGATCGAATGTTAATAATAGTTACAATATAATTTTTAAAAAATGGGTAAAACTGAAAAAGTCAAACCTGATTGTGAAAAATTAATGTTCCTATTTTTGTTGCCTAGTGCATTTAATTAATACAGAGGGCTGCTGCCTAAGATATGCATTATCTATCCGAATGCATGTTAGCTTCACTAATTAAAACAATTAATTAACAATTTTCACACTTCCAATGAGATCCAAATTGCTGTTAAGATATATCAGGCTTATCAAATGCTAGTGAAGCATGGCGTTAATTTATTTCTACTTTGTCTTTGTTTATGTTTGGCTGCTTTTCGAGCAAATCAAGTCATTCAACTCGAGCATCGAAAACCGGCTTCTACTTTCATGCTTTTGGCACGCTTTTAAGCAACAAAAGAAATAGCAACAATATACAAATGCGAGTGTATAGCAGAGTCGCGTGCTTCTACATTTTGTCCAACTTTTCACTTTTACTCTCCGTCTGTTGCCTAATTATTTAAAATAAAAACAACCTTGCGTCGCTTTGTCTGCTTTCGTTTATTTTCTGACAATTCGTTTGCCGATCAGATGTTTAGTTTCAAATATTTATTTAATCATTGTTCACGAGCAAACTGCGAAATTCGTGTAAATTTACTCAAAATATTAGTGAGCCTATGCCGGCATTGCAATTGGCTACAAATACTTGCCACTGCACAAATATTTGGCAATCAACATTTGGCCAACAGCCACCGCCGTTGGCGTCAATCATTGGCGTTTGTGCCACTGGCAGTTGGAAACTGTTGCATCGACTTTTGTTGCAAAAGAGCCACTGAGCGGGTTTTGAAGTCGAAGCGGGTTTTGTTTACAAACAGAAGTTGCTAAGACCCGACGAGGTAGCAACATCAAGAAGTCGTTTATTATGGTCTGCAGGCCCGTCCCTCGGCCATGCACAGCAATTAACATTGCGATGTTAATTTGGTTAAATGTTTGCACAAGCCAACGACTAGCTCAGCATTTGCTTAAATGGTTTTTAACTGTGATTAACATGCATTTCTGTTACTTTCTACTAAATGTTTCTTTTCCTCTTCTTTCCCTAGTTGTTACCGGCGCCACTGATGGCATTGGCAAGGAATACGCCAAAGAGCTGGCACGCCAAGGTCTTAACTTGGTTTTGATCTCACGCACTCAGGAAAAACTCATTGCTGTGACCAATGAGATCGGTAAGCTGTCCTTTTGAAGACATTCATTTATATTTTTTAATCGCCTCTTAACTAAATAGAGGCTCAGTACAAGGTGAAGACCAAATGGATAGCCGTTGACTTTGCCAAGGGCCGGGAAGTTTACGATGAGATTGTAAAGGAACTGGCAGGCATACCAGTCGGCATATTGGGTAAGTTTGCACGAACAGTAGCTATATAAAGACATATCCCAAACAATTTGTTTGTATACTTTCACAAAATCTTTATTTGTTGTATATAACTATACAATTGTATTCTTAACTAACATATAATCGTTAAAAATGTCAAATATTCTGACTCCGCATTTAATATTTACTATTCAATTACAAATTAGCAACAGAAGAACAATAATCACTTCGCCTTTTCACTTTCAAAATATACAAAAATACAAATACAAAATAAACTTTCAAAATATACATTTCTAATATTCTAACAGCACAACTTTAAGCGCACATCTTTAAACTACAATTGAATGTGAAATTGTGGGATAAGTTCTTTAATGAAGTTTCTAATATTTTCTTAAGTAAATACAAAAGCTAGAACATTCTTTTCCCGCGATAAGGTCATTTAGTTAAAATACTTTAAACTTTCATTCTTATAGCAGCTATATGATAGAGTAGTTCACCAATTTTGAGAAACTTTATATTATAAAGAGGCATTTTATCAATAATAAATTGTTTGTGTGTTCAGTTAAAATAAACGTTCATTCTTAGAGCAACTATATGCGTTGTTCACCCATTTTAAGAAAGCTTCATATTATGAAGCGGAATTTTATAAATAATAAATTGTTTGTGTGTTCAGTTAAAATAAACGTTCATTCTTATAGCAGTTATATGATAGAGTAGTTCACCTATTTTGAGAAAACTTCATATGATGAAGAGGAGTTTTATAAATAATAAATTTTTGGGAGTTTGGGACTAAGCATGGTCCCTATTTGAAATGTTTCTATGACAACTATGTATATGATACCTTAGAATATTATGTGGCAATAAGGAAAACTCATAACTATCAGACTTACTTAAAATATATTTATAAACCAAAAAGTTAACCGAGTGCTTACCTATCTTTTTATTTGGTTGATCTGAATCTGATTCAAGACAAAAAATAAGTGTTTTGAATTTAACATTTAACTTTTAGATCAATATATACAAGTAGTACGGTGTGATTAGATTTGTATGTTCCGCAGATTTAAGAAAAAAATTTAGAAAATACATGTATTGTATTCTGGGAAGCCTCTATAAAATAAAAAATAAACCATAACAGCACAACTCGTGTATAATTAAAGTATTATAAAAAATGTACATAGTCTTGTTATTTGGACAAATTTAGTGAAATCCAGCATAGGAATTTCCCAATTAAGCCTTAGCAAAAAAATTTTCAATCGAGATAGATTCTGGATCATTACTCAGAAAGGTTGTTATCCCCTACACTTTTGAAAACTCATACTTAACAAGCAGGTCATATTTTTATGGTTTTCATATTTTTACCACTCTTTTCTTCATCTTGAATATATACGCGTATGTACTCGAAGTAAACATTAGATAGTGATGGGGTTTCTTAGACGAAGCCCTATCGCAAGCAATAGTCTACAATTTGTCGGCTACAGCCACGCCCTCGTTCTGCTGTACTCATACGCCTATCATCAAGTCATTTAAATTACTTATAATATCCACTTGAGAATCAAGTTCATATATAATACAGGGCATACACCCCCCCACTCCAACTCTTTTCAGAGCCCAACGCTTGGTCATTGTCAACAGCAAGTACGGCAACAATGATAATTAAAAGTCTCTTTTTTTCGACAGTGTCATTGAAAGATTGTTGAAAAAGAGCTTCGTAATAATTGCGTGCAATTATAGTGACTATTTTGTTGTTGCTTGCACTGCTGGGCTCAATGGACAGTGGCACATATGATGTTCAAGTACATAGTACTATTGTTAACGATTGTGTCAAGTTTAGTTTGGCTATTATTTACATCAACAAACAGAAGGTGGTGTGCCTTTGCCAAATTCATAAACGCTTTGACGCGCTTCAACAATTTACATTTTGTTTATACATACTCGTATTTATCTGTTTCCATAGATCTGTTCATATCATGCCCTTGTTGCCGCCTCATAAATCTCAAGGCATTTAATCGTGTGCTCTTGACTTTGACTCAGAAAAGTATAGAAAATCGTATAAACATAATCATTTTCATTATAATTGCAGTTAATAATGTGGGAAAAATGTACGACTACCCCGACTCGTTGGACAACGTGCAGGAAGACGTTTTATGGGATATTATTAATTTGAATATTGGAGCCGTCACGATGCTAACCCGCAAGCTGCTGCCACAGATGAAGGCAGCCGGCAAGGGGGCCATTGTAAACATTGGATCGGGCTCCGAACTACAGCCCATACCCAATATGGCTGTGTATGCAGCGACCAAGAAATACATAACCTACTTTACTCTGGCCCTGGAACAGGAACTGGCCGAGCACAACATCGCCGTGCAGCTGGTCATGCCACTATTTGTGGTGACCAAAATGAATCAGTATTCGAATACGGTTATGCAAGGTGGTCTCCTCATACCAAATGCGCAGAGCTTTGCACGCTCAGCAGTCTTTACACTGGGAAAAACCAGTGTGACCAATGGTTTCTGGTCACACGGACTTCAGGTAAGAAGAACCTAGAAAATTAAACTCGACCCCATTCATTCAATTAATACTTAGAAGACAATTGAGGAAGTAGCCAAAAATATGTATCCTTTATATATATTAATTGATCCTTTATATTAGCAGTAGTAAATATTTTTTGTCTACTCCTGAGTCGACTTTGTTCTCAATTGATATTCCAAGGAGTCAATGGATTAAGGAAACTATAGTTTGAAAATTAATGAATACAAATAGTTCAATAAATAGTTAAAATAGTAATGAAATCGTAATTTAAAACTTTACCTATTATATAATTATAGTGTAGTATACATTTCAACTCATGAGTTGACTTTGTTCCAATTGATATTCTAAGGTGTTGATGGCTTAAGGAAACTATTATTTGAGAATTGAGGAATACAAATACATAGTTCAATAAATAGTTAAAATAGTAATGAAATCGTAATCTATATAGTATTGTAAGTTGGTAGAATCAAGTAAGGAACGGATAAAGGATAAAGTGCATAGAATAGAAAATATAGCCGATAATCCGAGAAACAATAGTCAGTGGCACAAACAGTCTGTAACATACTATTCTTTCATCTTTACAATGATGAAATTGAAATAGTATTTAATAGCTTTAATTGGCCTAATAATCAATAGCATCAACAATAGTCGCCGGTTATTAATAATAGGTTGTCAGTGGTTGATTAGATCAATATAATATTTTTAAACAACTGATCAATATATGGGACAAGTTGAAAGCACCATCAACTGGCATAAAATACGCCAGATAATAGTTGTCGATCACATTATTAATTAATAACAATAGAACATATACTATATTATTATAATTAAGTCTACATCTCCATTTCGCTTCATCCACAGTATTTCATAATGAAGATGGCGCCGCAGCATGTGAGAATGTTAATCAGCCACGAGATGACGCGTCGTCTACGTCACGAGTACCTCAACACACAGGGCAAGAACAAGGTGTCATAGTAGTTGACTTTCACATAACCAAGTGTACATTCTAAGCGTCTTGTAAATATTGGCACATACTAGTACTAATACTAATAGCAATAAAAACATGTAAACATACGACTCCAACCATTTAAGTATTTCGCATGCATAAAAACCGGCCCCTCCACGAAATCAATTTGCGAGTAAGTGCGTTGCTTGCGCCTATTTGCCAAAATGCACAAATGGCCACTTCAGTGATTGCGCAATGAATGCAGCATTGTCTGGCTATGGATGCGATGGGAGGGGGGACGCGTTGGAGGTGAAGATATATCAGGTAGGATGCAGAGGTAGCCGTGAAACCGGTTCGCCAGCGCGCGAAACTTTTGACCGACAAACGAATTCAACTAACCAGCAATTCCACAGACGGAAGCCCAAAACCGGCTGCGCTTCATTGCGCTCACTTGGCATTTACACAGATTTTGGCCAACAAGAAAACAGTCACTAAAAAAGCTGATTATGCTGCAAAAACAAAAATGTCAACTGTTGCCCCACAGTTGCACTTTAATGCAAATGAACTTCAAGTGCAGAACAGGCATTGTTGAATGCTTGGAAGTGTGTGTGTGTGTGTGTGTGTGTATCTGTGTCGGCTTGTATCTGATCACTGACCACTGCGGACAACCCAAATTATGCAACTTGACATTAAATTGCAACTTTAGCCTTAGATACAGAGCTTTAACTGTAGCTTTATTGTGACTTCCACTCCAAACCGCATTACTTGCAGTTCAGACTGTGAAGCTGAAGTTGCTTTTCATTTTCGGTTAACAAAAAGTTGTTAATCTTGAAGGCATCTTACAGTAATGCCAATATTAGCCTTGATAACCATAATCTTTTCGTGTCATCGATTAAGGCAGTAGTAAATAGTAATAGTTAATGTTTTCAATTAACTATGATGTTATAGTCTGGAAGAACCGCATTGTTGATGAAAGGAAGAGTATAAGCTTAAGGCATCTCACAAATTGGAAGAAAGAATTAGAGGAAAATAATGGAAGAAAATGTATTTAAACTGTCTTCAAAATAATGATTTGATAAGGCTTAGATAATCCTACGGGTTGACTCTTTATTTTATTTTTTTGCTTCATTCGTTTTAAAAAGTTAAAGAAAACAAAAACAAATGCTTTATAAACTGATGCTATAAATTCTTCTTTTAAATCCTACAAATAATTAAAGAAAAATTAAATCACTCGAATAAGTCCAACAATAATCCCAATGCTCACTTGCAAAATATTTTCCATCTTGAGAATAAAAGTAGGTTTGTTTTTTTTTTCTTTTCTTTTATTTGTTCCTGCAGGTTGTTGTTTGCTGTTGCTTTTTAAATTATTTACGAATGCGTTATGATAAAAATGCAGTTATTTATATAATCTTAGATATAAGAATGCGAAATTTTGAAGTCCCAATTCAATGCGCTCGTTTCTTGCTGCTTATACTATACATTGTGGTCTACATAGAATTAACAATTTCATTGCAAAAACTAAATTTTAAAAAAATATGCTTCCCAAAAATAATATTTATGATTGGAACAGATGATGCCAACGCCGCAGCGTCGCAGCCCACATCGCTGCCATTCGATGCGCCATGTCGATCAGAAAGTTTCTCGAGCGCCCGGCCTTCAAATTGTCCAAATCGTGTGAAATGTGGCACACCGCTGCAAAAATAGAGCGGCCCAATGAATGAGACAGCATATATAAATCGAAAATTTATAAAACTCACCGCATTGCAATGTTCGGGAGGGGCGGCGATGAGGCAGCAGTTTCCTCTTCATAAATAATGATGTAAGGACGAGGGCAACGCGGGGCTTTGACGTCATCTGCAACAAGTAGAGGAGCAATGAAAATTTTAATTGAATTATTATGCTATATTTAGCTGACCAATCGTTCAATCTGATCGATCTGCCATACATATGGCCGTTTTATTGGCCTAGTTAAATAATTATTAAATGAGCATTTATTTCAAAACCTATGGCTGGCATTGGCTAATGAGGTTTTACAATATAAAACCATTTCGCGTGTTTTCCATTTGCTAAAATTAATTGAAATGTGCCACTTGATATAAGAAATTGATTTTCGGTTCCACATGTGGGTACAGGTTGTTTCTATTTTCACTTGTTTTTCAAATTTGCATTTTGTTTTCTTTTTTTCAAGTGGCTCCAAAGGCATAAACAAAGGCCACAGTTGTTGAAACGAAATAAATTATGCATGATATTTTTGGAAAATGTTTTCGTTTCTTCTTTTTTCAATTCTAATCGTGTTGCTTTCGAGAACATTTATGTTGTTTGTTGTTCGCTTGCTGTTGGAATTCAATTTGATGTGCCTTTGGCGCAGTTCATAATGCATTTATATATGAGCGGTAAATAAAATTGGAATTATTTATGATATTAAGTAACACAGCTGTCAACAGATAACACACCAATTGAGGTCAGTGTGCAAATTTAATAAATGGAACATTATTCATAGAGATTTTGTAGAATTATGTCACTCTAACTGGGGTTATTATTATTATTTCTAAGTGTGCTCATCTATCTGCGAAAAAAAGGAGTGTTTGTCAGACTCTAATGCAGGCAATTGGTAAAAGTTCCGATGTTTTAAAATATATGTGAATTAAGAACGTTTTTGCCGTGAAAGTTTACTTTAAGCTCCTAACAGACCAAAATCCCTAATCTTTACTATAGAAGAGCCACACATTATCTACGACAAGGTGTTGGATCCTACTTCTATACATAAGAAGCATGTCTTTCCACACAATGTATTGCATTGTAACTAAATTAGCTCTTAGGAAAGTTTACCTTAACAACTGTTTCTACTTTTAAACGCTATAGTGTGGCTATATCATCTGATGCTCCCAACAAGAACCGAGCTATTGAAGACCACACCCTTTCACTAAGCACATTAAAAAACTTCCTGCTTAAATTTCGTCACACATATGCAAAAAGAAAATGTACCTATTTCTGCAGCTACGTACAAAAAAGATTGTAAACTTTAAATAAGGGCATTAAATAGTTACTCTAGTTTTCAATCAACAAAAAACGTTTCAGTTGAAATATTTCAATATCTCAACAACCATTTTCCAGCTCGTTGGAAAATCTTTTAACCCCCAACAAGAACCGTTCTACTTACGACCAGAGCTTTCGATTAGGCATATTAGACAACTTCCTGCCCCAATTTCGTCACACATATAGAAAAATAATTATTCTTCAGCTGCGCACAAAAATCAACCTAACTTTGAACCAAGGGCATTACAGACTTACTCTAGTTCTCAATCAACAGAAAGCTGTCAGGCCTCAAAGCGGGGCGTGTTTAAACATAAATGAAAATTAATGTTTATAATAATTGTATATCTTCAAACAGCGCAAAACATAAATTTGAGCATCTATAAAAAAAAACACCAAAGCGCCAGAACAAATGGCAGCAACATTTTCGTTCAGAGGGGCATCGTAAAATTTCACGCAAAACTACGGTTGACAAATTTCGAGAAAGATTTCAAAAATGATTTTCCGCGGCTGTTGTTATCTTTGTTGTTGTTTTCTTAATGTAGCATATTATATATCATGTCGCGTCAGAGACGTTAATCGCTCTAAATATTTGGCTGATTGGCGGCCAACTTTGTGTTCAACAAAAAATAGAAACTTTGGAAAAATATGATTGTGCTTGCCAAAAAAAATAAAAATTGGACAACACAGCTTGTCGAGGCATTGCGAATTGTTTCCATAAAGTTTTCGTTTTATCATTTAATTAATTGGCCGCACTGGCACTGGCACTAAATAAATGTGTCTACTAAAATGCGTTTTTATACGAAATGGTTTTAATAAAAATCAATTAAAATATAAGCCAGCTAGCGCAAAAATTTGAATGTCTCTGACGCAAGTGGATAGCGAGTGTCGAACATAATTTTGGCTAATTTTAAAATGATAGTATATGTATAGATAATTAAAATAATTCTGTACACTCACCTGACTTAAAGTAGAACTAAGAGAAATCCATTAAATGCTAGCGACTTAAACGCGTAACGTCCTAATTTGATTTTACATTTCATGTAAATATGAATATTTTTGTTTTGTTTCTTGGAATTGAAATTCAACATGTAAGTTTCCTTGAACTAAGTTATGGTTGTCATGATGGGTGGTTAGTTTTGTTTGGTGGCTGTGGTGGTTTCTTTAGAAGGCGGCTTCGTAGAAGGCATAGAGCAGGAACAGCAAAAATGCCAGGATGATGAATGTGGTGAACAAACTCTTGGCTTCATTCATTTTGGATTTATTTGTTGTTGTTGTTGTTGTTGTTGCAATTACTGTTGATTAAACAAGAATAAATGCCAAGTCATTAATTTAATTAATAAGTGGAAAACAGTTTAAAGTTAAAGATCTTTACAGTTTGTTGTCTGGTCTCTGCAACCCAAACCGTTCGTAGCAAAAGGCACGAAATAACTGAGTAACACAACCGAAATATTTCTCCACAATAATGCCCACAACTCGGCCAACACAGCAGCACTCGTTGGAATTATAGAATATATATATTGCCAATATATAAACAGTCTACACACATATATACCTATAAAAAATACACACACACACGTCTATAAAATACAACTTTCGTTGTGTTTGTGTCCAGTTGTGGCGCACATTTGGACGCGGCACACATCTTGAGTTGTCGCTATCTAAATACATATGTAATTATGTATGATTGTATATATACTTAATATGTTTAGATTCCATGGCATGCAGCGCAAGAAGTGGGCGTCGACAGGTGCCTGTTCCCCCCACAGTCTATAAAAAGAGATGTGTTTAACAATGACCTAAGAAAAATTTGTCATCATTTATTATCCAGCATCCCGTGGCTATGCTATTTGCCAATATTTTTCACTTTTTGTATACAATTTGCGGTTTTTCTGGCTCACACATGACTTTCTTGGTTCCAGCCCCCAAACCAGAGGGCGAGAAAAATTGCCAGACTGTTGTCTTCGTATTACCTTAAATATTTATTTTGGCTGCTCAAAATATTCGCAACATGTTTATTTATTTGTGCAAACCACATCAATGGAAACAACAAAACTCATTGCATTACAACAGTTTGATTCAGCTATCTGTTTTTGGGTGTAAACAGTCAGTCAGTGACTTACAATCATTTTAAAAATGATTGTTAATGGTTAGAAAAGCTTAAGGAAGCTTAGAGACTTTATAAAGTGTGGTTGGGTGCAGACAGTAAACAGAAATAATGAAAATATTTCAATCTTCTTAAGTATAACTTGCTAGAAAGCACTGCATCTAATCATAAAACGAGACATAACTACGGCTGTCAATTATTCTTAATACACAGTATTTGTTTTCAAATAGAAAAGAACATAAATATTTCTGTGGGATCTCCAGAAGCAAACAATGTTAGAATTGAAATACTTGTTTGAATAATTTATTTATAAACAACTCAAGAATAATTCACGCAGCCAAAGTCCATAACAATAAATTAAAAGAAAAACCCATAAAAATGTATTTCGACTTTTTTAAATATAACCAATTTAAACACAAAACTTGTGAAATTTAAAAACAGATCAGCAATAAATTGTTAATTATATGCTATAAGTGTAGGAATTTAGATGTTTAAGTTTTCAATTTTGAAACAAGCCGAAGCAAAGGGGGCATTCAATAAAAACTTAATCCGTAGTTGTAATAAGATTTGTGTTATAATGTTATTTACGGAAACTTTATACATAATTAAATTGGTAATAGGAGCTCACCTGTTGCTCCATAGGTACCGCCGCACTTCCATTGTCAATGTCTTCTGATCTACAATACCGCATATACAATCCACAGGAACAACAACAGGACCGCCAGGATGAGGAAAGTTGTCATCAAATTCTGTAATTCACTCATGTTTGCTTATTTGCTAAAAGAACGGAAAAGTAGAAGTATGTATGGATCCATTAAAATAATTGATTAAGTTCCAGTAATTAAATCTAAAGGCAACAAAGGTCACGGAACGAAAATATGTGCGAGAGGCGCGTGTAAAATTAAAATGAGATAAAAACAAATTAAATATGTGATCATAAATTTTATGGCCACATATCATTTTGTTTTAAATTTAAACCACATGTATATTTAAGCATCTAAATTGGCAAAACATACACACAAATTCAATAAAAATACTTTTAGATATAGCATAAAATATGAAAGTTAAAATAGATATGCATGCTTAATATAAAAAAGTCAAGTCTGCGACAAATTCCTGTCCTTCTTTTATTAAACTTTAGTTTTTTTGTTGTTTTTAAATGTGTTTTCGTCTGATTTTTCTTCATTTATATTTTTACTTATAAAAATATGTGCTTGGCAAATAATTCCAGCACTATAGATTGGATCGTTTCCAAATATGTTGTTTTTTTTTTTATTAATTTATGGATAATCTTGAACACGGCACACTTTAATTTTTAGTCAGCTTATATATGTACACTGTTGGTAAGATCACTGCTAGATACCTTTTATTTAGCTTGCGACTGTGGGGATTTTAGCTATTAACTGCTGCTAGCCTTTGGCTCAACTAAAACCGCTAGACGCACTTGTCTGCCGGTAAGGCTGTTGAGTGTCGCAAAATATAGAAAATGCTTAGAGAAAACGTTGAAATATTGGCGTGAAAACATCTATAACGCACATATATCAACAACACATATACAGACGAAAGATCTGGCGAAACTGTCAAGCGGAAAAGTGGCCAACTGGGCAAGTATGTGTGTGAGTGTGTGTGTGTTCCTCTCCATAGTCCAATTTATAGCGCAGCAGCAGTTGGCGAAAATGAGATGCCACTACATAGAGTTGGAAAGCATAGGTTTGCGACATGACATCGAAAATAAATTAAATAAATTGTGTGCGGAGAATTTCGCAAGAGCACAGTAAAAAGCATAAAACAATGCTTTCATTGAATATACATACTATACTTTAGTATGAATGTATGTAGTATAGTATAGTATGTGGGTACACATATGCGTATACTTAATATAAAGGTTGCTGATGTTTGCGGTTGTTTTCTATTTTTGACAGCAATATTTTAACAAGCAAATAACCAACCACACGAATGGGTGCAGATGTTCTTAAACAAAAAAAAAACCATAAACCCTATAGTTTGGCAAACTGGCACACAAGAAAATACTTCAAAAGCTTCGAGAGATCCTTCCCAGTCGCTACACTATGATGGCGAGCATTTCTAGTACGACGGCGTGCAGGAAAAAATGGCTGTAATCAACAGTGCCCTGTTAACAGTTCCACTGTTAGTTGTAAAGCTGTTGATTGCACAGCTTTTAAACTGCAAAACTGTTAAACGGCTTTATTGTTAAAGGGAAAGCTGTTAAGCTGTTTGCTGTTAGCGCTAATGTTAATTTCTGAAGCTCTGTAACTGCTGATGCTATTAAATGCAGTCTCTATGTTTCGTGAATCAACATCAGTAGATTTAAAAGATCCTCCTTGTGTTGCGAAAATTTGTGTCTGTAAACTGAGACCTGTTAACAGTTACCCTGTTAGTTCTAACAGTGTTAATTCTACCGCCATTAAACTGTAAAACTGTTAAGAGGCATTGTTAGGGAAAGCTGTTAAACAGTTTTCTTGTCGTTTATCTCCGCAATAACTTCCGACTCTAATTCCCTGATGTTTTATATAAAAATTGTTCAATGCATGCACATAATTTATTTTATACCAATCCTAATAATAGACATATGTCCATATGTCGGCTTATCATTTTAAAAACCAATTAAACTATTAACTAATTGATAACTAATTACTTAATAGTCATGCCTACCATAGTAAAACTACTGACTCGATTAGAAATATTTAAGGTTACTTAGTTTTAATTTAATAATTGGCAATTTCGAAAGCTAAAGGTTATTTAACTTTAAATTTAAATTAAATGAAATAAACTCAAGATAAGTTCATTAAGTTCTATAATAGCTATAAGCCCACAAGTTTTTAGTCCCAAAAATACGAGAATATAAAAATAATAACACCTGTTGTTTTAGTGTAACAGGTACAAATTCGAATGCTACAAATAGAATTTGGCTAAAGAAATACGATTGTTTAAAAAAACATGTTTTTGTTTATTAAAATTCAATTGTTTAAAGTCTTGCAGCAATAATGCGTATATCCAAATGTTCAGCTTCAGCACAGGATTCCATAATATAACGTCACGCGGTTTGGTTCTATATCTAGGGGGCGGGCAACGCCCGCATTTTCAAAAACAACTTGACATACATGTCAGAATCCATGACTTGGAAAAGCAAAAGCTGCTTGGCACTTGTCATTAAATCAATTTGCAAGAGACTGCGTAATTGTTGAAATCTCTTTGCTGTGTGCTAAATCCATAAATTGACAAGTAAATGTATTTTTAAGATATTTCCTCTGCGCATATGTAATTGTAAATTTCCACAAAAAATGTCCATGCATTTCACATTTTTATGCAGCACCAAAAGATGTTTTCTCTCATCAACAAGATGTCAGTTTTCAATAATTGTTGACGAACGTCCGTCACGTGTCTAAATTAAATCTGCTTATGAATTTTACAATATTGCCGAGCCAACTAAAAATAAATTAATGATCTTTATACTATGTATACACAGATAGATGAATGCCAGATTTATAGATTTCTGTAAAATCGCCACATATTTGTCTCGCTTCTACGAATTTCCTTTTCGTGGCATTCCATGGCGATTAGGTCCCAACAAATATTTATGACCAGACGTGGGTGTTGTCACGTACAGCAAAGTCACCGGAAAATTGTATGCGTGAAAACCAATGAACCAGCTGATGCCAGAAAATGTACAAGTGATGAAAACAAAGTGAAGGTAATTGAACTGAATAGTGACTATACATTTTAAAACATTAGAAAACAACTGTTGCTGCTCGTTGTTAGTACTTTTAAGAGCAAATAGCTTCTTTACCTATGTATATCTCTCTATATAATTTTAGAACTAAAGCAATCCAATAATAGCCGCCAAACTCACGTAGTTCTTGTGCAGGCCATACACACCCCTCTTTTTGGGAAAATGTTTAGCAAATATTTAAAAATTAAAGTCCAATAGCACAGCTTTTATAATAGTGTGTAACTAAAGGCATAAATGTAAATAATATAAATGTAAATAGTACAATGAACAATATACATAATACAATGTAATATATAATAGTAATAATACTATATATAATTGTAAGTTGAAATGCAAACTAATATAGCTTAAGGCCATGGCTACAGGCTATAAATCCATGTTAGCTTATAGTTTTAACTTTAAACTAACTCCACAAAAATAATAAATAAATAAAACGTTAGTAGAGTAATGTTGGTGCGCTTTCAACTACCCGTTGTTTTTAATAAATGTAGCAAATTTGCTGTTTTAACTTTAAACTTTAGTTTTAACTTTAAACTAACTCCACAAAAATAATAAATAAATAAAACGTTAGTAGAGTAATGTTGGTGCGCTTTCAACTACCCGTTGTTTTTAATAAATGTAGCTAATTTGCTGTTTTAACTTTAAACTTCAGTTTTAACTTTAAACTAACTCCATAAAAATAAAAAATAAATAAAACGTTAGTAGAGTAATGTTGGTGCGCTTTCAACTACCCGTTGTTTTTAATAAATGTAGCAAATTTGCTGTTTTAACTTTAAACTTTAGTTTTAACTTTAAACTAACCCCATAAAAATAAAAAATAAATAAAACGTTAGTAGAGTAATGTTGGTGCGCTTTCAACTACTCGTTGTTTTGAATGAATTTAGCTAATTTTACTACTTGTGTCCAGTTTTGGTTATTTAATTGATCATTAAGGAATGATTTCCCTCTCGTCCTCATCTCTACAGTTTCTGCAGATATCATTAAACGCGATTACTTTTTAATTAGAAAGCATTGAAATAAACACATTGTATTATATAACACAATTAATTAAATAATTTGCATCTTAATGGCTAAATTATATAACTCAGAAACGTCACTGCTCGATTGACACGGTTGACACACAATTAGGAACTCTTTGGATGTTCACAAAAAATAACAATCGGTGATTACGTAGGTGCTAATAGCTGCAAAGGTAAATGACATTTTTTCATGTTGGGGTAGCCTAAAAAAATTATTAATTTTTAAAAACTTTACAGCTTAACGTCATTATCATTATGAGTTGGTGGGGCGCGATCTAAAAGTAAAAGATATGAAGCGAGCATTTGCCTGGTACGTGTCTGAAAATTGTAAGTAGCCACAAAAACAACTGATGATAGCAATGGCAACATTTCATTCAACAAAAGCATATTACGAAAATTAAAATAATAAACACGTACAGCGCACATTGCAACTGTATTTGTATGTGTGTGTGTGTGTGTGTGGGTTTTTGTTTTTGAATGTGTGTATGCGTAGATGCAATAATGAGGTTTTGTTTTTGTGAAATTTTTAACTAGCTTCTGTTTAGATTTACAAGTGTACTCGTAAATAATTTGCCTGGCAAAAAATATTTGAGCATTGCTTTACTTTAATTGATGAATACCCTACAGTTTCAGATTTATTCGATTCACTGGCAAATGTGGTTTCGTTTTTGATCTACGGCAAATAGAAAAGTTATAGTATTCTAACTGTTGGAAGAATTTCTTTAGGGAATTTTGTGTTTTCCTACTGCATTATATTTGCTTTAATCTAACTATCTAGAAAGTTAAAAAGTCATTCAGATCTAAGTTTATTATAGATTTCTTCTTTATTATGTTTTCTAGCTATAAAAGCAAGATTCAATTCTATTTGTCATCAAAAATTTATAGAATATAGTAAAAAGTCTTTTAATTCTTCTACTTTAGTGCTGTTGGAAGAATTTCTTTGGAGAATTTTGTGTTTTCCTACTGCATTATATTTTCTTTAATCTAACTATCTAGAAAGTCAAAAAGTCATTCAGATCTAAGTTTATTATAGATGTCTTCTATATTATGTTTTCTAGCTATAAAAACAACAGTCAATTCTATTTGTCATCAAAAATTCATAGAATATAGTAAAAAGTCTTTTAATTCTTCTACTTGATTACTTTATTCTATTAAATAAAAGTCTAGTTTTTCATTTTCTTTCCATTGTTTGTAGCTTAAGCTAAAGCAACGTTTACTAACTAAATATGAATGGGATATATTTTGTGACCTAAATATAATTGTTATTTATCTTACCACTATCCATCTGGGGCACGGCCAGAATATCGAACATTACAATCCTGCAGATATTCTAAAAGAAAACTGCCGAGGCACAGCTATAAAACTTCATGATTAAGGACAGATTTCAAATAAAGATTATAAAAAAAAAACTGACAAATTATACATATATCGTTAGAAAAGGGCATACAAAGACAATTAATCAATGGATTTTCCTTATTTCTCTACCTTTTTTTTATTGCAATATCATTTTGCAAGTTTTCAGATGGTAGATCATTGAAAATTCGTCAGAGGCTTTGAGTCCGAGTTGATGGTATTGCATTAATTATAAACAAATTCTGAACAGTTTCAGTTAACCGTTTCACTTTTCTACCATTTTGCTTCACAGCTCGAACTCTCACTTTATAATTGTACACACGCACACCAACACACACCAACACACACGCACACACGCACTGATACACACCACACGTTTATATCCGACAATCGCACATTGCCTGTTTATTATTACAACTTAAACCAAAATCGAAGTGGTGGTCACCGGTAGAGCCGCACAATGTCGCATCGTTCAGTTTCTCCAGCGTTTCGAGACCAAGCGGTGGTCGAGCCCGCTAAAATTAGCATGTCTGAGCTCAATTAAACAAAAAAATAAGCTTAAAAAGAATGTGCAACCTAATGAATGGCTTTGTTAAAATGCATTTCGTGGCGCTATTGTTTGTGGTATTGAGAATAACCGTTACATGCCAGAGTAAGAAACTGTTTGGCTTCGAGTTCCATGCGCAGCACAACCAGCAGGACGATGTGCTAGCAACAACAGCAGCAACAGATCCAGTAACCATGACAACAGAGGCAGGACCCACATTCAGGCCAACGCCCTCACCGAACCGTGATATTACCCTAGGGCCGTGTAAATGGGTCATTGGACGCCAATGTCCTGACGCCGATGTCAAGTTCTATATTTATACGCGTCAGAATTCGATGGATCGGCAATGTCTGCATATAGACACCACACTGGAACAGTCCAACTTAACCTCCTCGTTCTTTAATCCAGAGCATCCCACAAAGATTATCATTCATGGCTATAACTCGGATATGTTCTTACATCCGCTGCAGAAAATGCGCGAGGGTAAGCAAAGAATACGATTTAGGTACCAAAAGGGTATACTTTTTGATGTAATCTACAATATTTATTGTGGGAAAAAAATATTTCTCAGTTAATATGTACAATATTTCAAAGATAATGGAAATTGAAAACGATTTGCTTGTAGGATTAATCGATAAAACGAGAAACAATTTCTAACCAAATATGAATGTATTTATAAACATTAGTTGTTAGTAATATAATTAATCAAGTTATTCATTCCAAGCTACATATGTATATGTATATCTCATGCTTAATCTATGCTTAGAGAGAGTTAATGCCAAAGAAAGCCGAAGCCACACCTAGCCGAAGGACAAATAATATTCGCCCACCGCGTCGTTGGCGTTAATTAGATATTATTGTAATTTGATTAGATGTCTGCTACTTAGGCTTTTCTAGCTTATAAGATGCTTTTTATCATTTTTATATGTTTTCCTCCTATGTCGACAGTCATTTCTTTGTTGACATAAATAAATAAATAATAATTGCTGGGCAGATCTTTGGAATAAGCTGTGGAATCTGCCCGTCCTCTTTATTTGAGATTTTGAAATTGTGTAGAATCCCAGTGCTCTTAATTATTATATAAGATCCAAATAGAGTATTTTCTAAGATTTCTTTTCCTATCATAACTGCCTAAAAGTCTTTTGCCATGGCTTCGAAGTTGTTTCCCCGTATCTCTCTTTTCCTTTTCGGTCTACTACCCGAGTTCTTCAGGGCACCCACCCGGACTCGGATTTCCAGAGTATTAAGAAAGCTTTTTTTCCTGTTAGTTTGTCCGCAACCTCTTGGTCAGAACTTCAATCAAGTATTGTAAGTTCCTCCCATGTGATTGTATTACCTATTAGCATTGTAGATAGTAGAATAGCTGATACACTTTCTTGCTACGGCACTCTTTTTGGAATTGTTTGAAACAAGCTAAGTGGGTTTTCTGTACAGATATTACCTGGTTTTATATGCATTATATTGTTTTCTCTGATAACATTACTCGAAAGCGTCTTAATAAGAATGTCCTAAATAAATAAGAGAGACGAGAAGAACCACAAAATGCAAATGAATATCTTAATTTCTTGAATATTAACTGGACTCAATCGCAATCAGTTTCTCCGAACAACTGAAAGAAAAAACTTGTTATTGATAAGGCTTTCGATTTTGGCCCTCTGGTATTCGTAAGGGAGTTGGGTGGATTTTGAAAATAATCGCAATTCTACATAATACTATAAAATATCTTTCTGGCCTTGCAGAGTACCTGGCCAAGGATGAGTACAACATCATTTATGTGGACTGGAGCGTGCTGTCGCCGGGCCCCTGTTATGTGAGCGCCGTGCACAATACCCGGCATACAGGAGCTTGTGTGGCCCAGCTGGTGGAGCGTCTGGTAGACACTGGCAACATGGACATACACATTATTGGCTTCTCATTGGGTGCTCAGCTGCCCAATTATGTGGCGCGTAACTTGGCATCGTTTACGCTGCCGCGCATTACGGGCCTGGATCCGGCCATGCCTCTCTTCATCACCGCCAGCATCAATGACAAGCTGGACGCGAGCGATGCGGTGTATGTGGATGTCATACACACCAATGCACTGGTCCAAGGGAAACTGGAGCGTTGTGGACACGCCGATTTCTATATGAATGGCGGCATTATGCAACCGGGCTGCAATGGACAAACAATTAGTGAGTTATACTGAGTTGATGGAGATCCCAAATCTTATTGCTTACCTTCTGTAGATGCCTTTGCCTGCAGTCATCAGCGTGCACCCGCCTATTTTCTGGAATCCATACGCTCTCCGAAGGGTTTTTGGGGCTGGGCCTGCAGTGGCTATATTCCGTATCTGCTGGGCATGTGTCCGCCCACAAATTATCTGCTCGAAGCGGGTGATAATATTCGTCGCACCACACGCGGCATGTTTTTGGTTAGCACCAACGATACCGCACCATATGCGCTCGGCAAGTGGACCGACTTACCTACGCTGGGGGCCAAGAAACACCAAAAACACAGCATGGCGATGAAATTGCAGCCACCTCGTCAAGGTGTCGATCCACTGCTGCAGCACATCGATCAGTTCGGCAAATTGACATCAAATTTTAACAATTTGGCGCCTATGCCCTATGCCTCTGATCCCTACGAGCACTGGACTTACTTCAGTGAGTCGGAATTGGAGAACAATGATGAGGATGAGTCGGTTGAGGAGCAGGAGCCTGTCGAGCTCGTTGACACAGGCGTATTATATGAGAAGCTGAACGCGCCCCACCATAACAAGGTTATTTGGCGTGAGTACAGACGCAACTTAACGGATGGTTATATAGACAATAACATATTCCAAATGCCCAACGTGAATTAGTTGTAAATGTAAAGTGCAGCCCAGTAGAAAATAGTGGTTCTTCCTACTTAAACGTGTAAAATATAGCTTTGGAAGCATTTCGAAAGGCAGTAAATGCAGTTTAGACGGCAAAAGCACCTAAAAATTGCACTTCTAAAGTAACGCGTTTCAAGAGACCACTATAATGTATTCAGGAATATATTCCTTTTAGTCCTAACCATGAACTTTTTAAATTTTAACTGGGAAGCTAGTTTAAGTCCAAATCACATATGCCAGATTTGTTGCCAGAAATACGACATATGCTAAATTCGAAAGAATAACTAAAATAAAAAATAACTCTTTTCTGATAGCTATATAGCTTAGAACTGTGTCCTTTATCTATTCTTAAGATATATACATATATATATATATATAAGTCGAGTATATTCGCTTATTCTCTTCAGCTAGATCTATCGACTAATTCCTAGTTTTTAAGATGCAACTACTGAAAGAACGATAAAAGTAGCTTTATTAAATAATTAGAAATATGAGATTTTAGTTTAAATACGTCTGCAAATACGTAAAAATTGAGAATATAAGCATTTCCCCTGTAATGTAGCTATAATCTGTCAAAATATACGAGTAGTATCTGCAAAGAACGCTATAGTTCTGGCAACTTAAATGGCTGGCACTTGTGATTTGGGTTTGCATTAATTTCCGCCCTGTGAGTAAACCTTTTCCTTGCCTTGGCGCAATCCAATCGATCATCACATACATATACACGTATATTTACAAACACATCATATATCATATTGTTGTAAGCGATTTGTATAATTAAACATTTTAAATACAATAGTTAGTTTGTATATAAATTGCATTAAATTGCCAAATAATTTAATGTGGCCTAAAGAATGTTGTGGTTTGCGGCTTACGGTTTGTAGTTGTTTGTGTAATGGTCTTATGATGAACTGCTGTTTCTTCCTTCTATTGATGACTGGCCTATCAAGAGCCTGACTGCCGAACTTAAAAGTAATTTTACCGCCTACCAAATGCGTAAAATCATTATGTGCTCTACTGCTTCTTTCGGGTAACGCGTTTGGAACGACCCGGCGTTCCAGCCACCGTTGTGTTGACATCTTGCGGCTTTAACTGGGACTCATGTAGCTCAGGTTCAATATCCTCAACCTCAGTTTTCATCTCAATATCCACTGGGGGACGCTCGGTATCGCTGGTGGCAGACATGGGCGATGGGGGTGCACGCACCGCATCGGGATCATCGTCCTCTTGCGCGTGCGCACTACTATTTGTATTGCTTTCATCCTCCACTACTGCCAAATGGTATAGTTTCATTTCTTCTTCGGAGATGGTAACTGGCGCATTGGAAAGCGGATCACGTCCATTTAAAGATTTGGGGAATGCAATGACATCGCGTATTGAGCGAGCCCGGCACAATATCGCTATTAAGCGATCCAGTCCCAAAGCAATGCCACCGTGAGGCGGGCAGCCTGACTCCAGAGCGCTGAGTAAATGTGACAAATGATCGTGGGGTATTTTCAGTACTTGTTCCAATATAAAGTGTTGCATATCACGATCGTGTATACGTATCGAGCCACCGCCCACCTCCTGTCCATTAAGGACCAGGTCATATGCCTGTGAACGTATAGTTTCCAAATTGTCACAGCTGGTGGCAAATTTGTCCAAATCCTCAATGTGTGGCGCAGTGAATGGATGATGGACACTTTCCAATTGCTTTGTTTCGTTGTTGCGTTCAAAAAGTGGGAAATCTATGACCCAGAGGAAGCGGTAATCGTTGGGTTTCTTGGCCTTTGCCTGCTCAACTAGAAATTCTTGATAGTCCAGGCGAATGCGACCCAATAGACTGCGCTGTAAATATACCAAAAAGTTAGAAGTAAACTCGAGTGCAGCTTGAAAGCGTACTTACAGTTTCTAGCTTGGGACCTATGCCCATAAAAAGCAAATCGTTCTCCTCCAAATCGAATTTCTCAATAACTTCAGAAGCCACATCGCTGCCCAACAGCTTTGTTAAACTATCCACTACATCCTTACCATACTGCCAAATAGATAACATGTATTTGATAACGTTAAAAAATTTATCATTCTGGATAGGTGAAACGGATCTCACTTACAGAGAATTTGTGCACAAAGAGAGTGCCCTTGAAGTCATTTCCTAGGCCCTCATAATGTCTACGTGCTAAGCCATTCCAAAATGCTTCACTAGCTCTCACTACGATGGCATAGGCGGAAAAATCATTGTATTTCCCCTTGAAGTTCTCACTCTTTTGAATAATCTCGGACACATTGTTCAATAGAAAACCAAAGCGAGTGTCGGGCTTATCGGTGCCATATTTCTCCAGGGCCTCCTCATAGGTGATACGCCGGAAAGGAGTTTGCAATTTGGGAAAATGTTTGGGCCACGAATAGCGTAGTGTCTCCTCAATCAATTGCATAATATCGTCACGACTGGTGAACGAAAGCTCAATATCCAATTGTGTGAATTCGGGCTGACGATCCGGACGGGTGGCCTCGTCGCGATAGCAGCGCGCCACTTGGAAATAACGATCCATGCCGCCACTCATAAGCATTTGCTTGAATTGCTGTGGACTCTGAACGAGCGAATAGAAGTGGCCAGCCTTCCGTGTGGGCACCACAAACTCCTGCGCACCGCCAGGAGTGCGCCTGAAAAGTGTCGGTGTCTCAACCTCCACAAAACCCAAGTAGTTAATGAGATATTCACGCATGCGCATTATAACAGCGGAACGTAGGCGCAGGTTATGCTGCATGTCGTTAAAACGCAGATCCAAATAGCGATGTGTAAGACGTAGTCTTTCGCCTGCACGATTAAACTTCCTTATTTCAAAAGGCAAATTCTTCTTGGCTGGATTCAGCACTGTTACCGTATCAGCCTCAATTTCTATGTGTCCCGTTTTCATTTTAGGATTTATAGTTGACGCTGGCCTTGGTATTACAGTGCCCTCTACCCGTACAACAGACTCAATAGGCAGACCAGTTTCCAAATACTCATCCAGACCCTTGGTCCTGCCCAATAGCAACACTTGTGTCTGTCCGTAGGCATCTCGCAGTATGAAGAATTTGTTCATGCGCTGAAACTCCAACCAGCCGCATACGACGACTTTCTCATTTATGTCATTGGAGGTCAATTCTCCACAGTTGTGTGTGCGATCGGCAAATTTGTTCGTGTCCGCAACCTTAACGCGCAGATCTGCGTTGGAGTTTCCGCTCACATTGGCAGCGCTGGCTTCATTGCCATCTTCTGCTGCTTCGCCATTACTGGCACTGGCATTTTCAGCCTCGAGATCATCAATGGATAGCTTCTGTTGCTTCTCCTTGGCCTTGATGGGGCCATCGTAGGGATCATCGGGACTCAGAATCTTGACGCTGGTAACGCTAACCTCTACCTCGCCGGTATCATATTTCTATGCAATTTCAATAAAATACAAGTACGAGTGTTTATTTCGTTCTATAAGTAGTGGAGTTGTTTGACTTACCAGATTAATATTCGCTTTAGGTCTGCACAGTACTTTTCCCACAATTTGCAAAACTTGCTGTTCCGGTGCGGACATAAAAGTGTCTATTAGGGATTGATCCTCAATCATTAGTTGGGTTTGTCCGTAACCATCTTTAAGCTGCAAGAATTTATTATTTTTTGTTGATGGTATCCAGCCCACCAGTGTGACGGTCTTGCCCACGTCATCTCGACGTAAATCGTTGCATGTTAGATCGCGGTTCTCGAAATACTTTAATATATTCTCGTTCTCTGCATTGATTGTTTAAATTAGTCATGCGTGCTTACGTAACAACATACTGGTTTTTATGCTTCACTTACTCGCAATCTTGTATTCCGTGCTGGTGATGCCTAAGTTCGGCTGCTGTTGCGCCATGGTGCTATAGGTGCGTTTGTCTCCAGCACGCTTGGTGCCCGTGGCCGGAAAATGTATGTTCAAAATGTCCTGCACTTCCACTTCAATCTCACCAGTGGGCATAGTTTGATTGCAAGAATTCTGTGGTCGCCGCGTCACCAGACCCACAATAGTCAGGGTTGTGTTCTCAGGCATGTTGTTCATGCGACGCGCTACACGGGGATGCTTATCCTCTAGCACGACCAGCTGACAAGCGCCGCCATTGCGATCGCGTAACTCGGCAAAGCGGTTGACGCGCTTTTTGATCAGACGGCCCGAAAGTTCCACAAACAAGCCACAGTGGTGATTGCGCAATTCGCCGCAACTTTGTCGCAGCGGCTGAGGTGGATGCGAGTTCATATTAAAGTTACTGGCCATGGCGCTCATTAGCTGCATCAAATCATTGCCCGAAATGTTCGGACCCACTGAAACAAAGCAAACGAACCTCGTGTGCGCATCACAATTATGCATATCTAATAAGGTTTAAACTCACTGTTAAAGGGATTCATATTTCCGCCGCCGAAGTTGTCGTTGTAGCCACCGCCGCCACCACCACTACCGCCGCCGCCGCCACGATAATTGTCATAGTCGTTGTAGCCGCCATGGCCTGGTCCGTAACCACCGCCACTGCCGTAACGACCGCCGCCCCCGCCGCTGCCACCACGATAACGTCCGCTCATGATCTGCGAGATAAACAATTGTTAAAATGCACTATGAGGACATGAAAACACACTTACGTGACTATTATTTGCGACTGCTGCCGGTTTTGTCGGTTCTGCTAATGAACTGTCACTAACGCTGTTAAGACTCTGCTGCGCCGATTTTCCACCACCAACAACAGCACTACATTCACTGTTCACAGCGGCCTGCTTGCACAAATAATGATGCAGTCGCTGATTGCGCCAAATATTTCTGGAAATGATTAACATTTTAATTCAGATAGAGCCGATTACATTTAAATAATTTATTTCGCAATCAATTTTCATTAAACTTTTCACTTTGCGCAAACCACGAGCTACAAACTGACGAATACACTCGCGCGCACATTTACTAACGTAATCGGTGTGTGTGTATGTATGTGCCCAGAGCGTAGATGAGCCGGGCGTCGCGAAAACGCCGCAGAGCGCAAAGATTTCGAACAATTTTTGTAAGCACCCACCTTAACAGTATGTTTAATTGACTAATAACACGTATATGTCGTTAGCAAAGCACTCGCCACCGTTTATAATCACGCAAGTGAAATTTAATAAACACAACAAATTCTCAGGCAAATACAATAAAAAGAAAAACGAACTCTGTTTTGGCTTGGTTGTCGGTGGAGAAATTTGGAACCATTCAATAGAGCTAGCAGCACTGCAATGATTGACTATCGAACCACTATCGGCTCACCACTACCTATCGGCTGTAACTAACCGATATCAAAGGGGTAGTTCGCTATCGGAACTCACCAGCGGATACGTTATTTATTTAAAACCGACTTATTGTTATCAAATATCCACTGTTTTTATTTACATGACACTTAAATTCATTAACAAATGCATTAAATAACAATTCGTTTGTGTTACTCAGTACTACGTATGCTCATCTCTACAAAATCTATTTGTATGGTGGCATGGGCGCTCAAGTTTTCCCCAACTTGAATTAGGCCTAAAAATTACAATATATTTTTGCTTTCTATACATGTATGTAACTCAGACTAAGTACAGATCATGTTATATAATGCTGCACCAACTCTAACTGCTCTGGTTCATTGTGCTGTTGAACGCTGTCTGGAAATGGGTAACAACATAATCGTGATAATAGGCCATAATGCATAGAGGTTGGCCCAAAATGATGGAAGCCCAGACAATGATGTTGCCTGTACGTGGCCCCAAGCGACGTTCCACGTATTTTGATACAGCTGACAGCGGTACCTGTCCCATCATGCCAAGAAAGGCCCAGATTTTATAGGTTTGCAAGGGCACAGAGACCTGTTAAATAAAAATTCAAAAATGTAACTTACGATATTAAAGCTAGGCAACAAACTTCTTTCGACTCACCAAATACTCGTGGAAGAAGGCACTAATAAGAAACACAATTGTTGAAGCTTGACGCGATGAGTAACCCATTTGCACAACGGGTATGTACAAATGACGTACACACCACCTGTGCACAGGCATGTTCCAGGTGCGCCAGAAGGTATCAATATTATTGGCATTCCACCAATCACAGTAGAAATTACGATCGGCAAAGTTCAATAGCTCGCCGACGGCGTTTAGGAACGAATGGAACATTAAATAGAAAAAACAGAGCCACACTAAGTGATTGGGCAGCTGCAAGAATTAAATTAGCAACTTATCCCACATATTTCCAACAAAACTACTTACGGCAAGTTTCAGCAGACGTTCAGTGGCGAGGGCGACATCCATGTTAGAGAAGGGTATCAACGAGTTACGTACTGAGGGTATAATCCATTGCTGGAACAATGCCATGACCATATTCACACCCACTATCACCTCCATTAGACGCTTGAGAAGAAAACGTTTGCGCACGCGCATTGTGCGCGGGAAATTAAGCTCATAGCATAGGGTTGGTGCGCACAGAAAGTACAGAATATCTTTGTAGCTTAAATTATCCGGATATTGTACTAGCTTGGGTATGGCTTCATCATGCGCATCCCCACCGTCCAATTGACCGTTCTCTAAGGATTTACGCATTTGTTATTAATGAATTAAATATTTAATTGCATGGGTTACGCACTCAGTTCTGCCAAAGTAATGCTTGGACGACGCTCACGAGGATTTCGCTGGTAATACGTTTGGCGGCACCACATATTTGTTTGCACATAGCTCCATAGTTTCAGGAAAAGCACAGAGTAGAAAAAGCACACAGTTGTGGCGCCCACTTAAAAGAAATTACATTAAAAACGGAAATAATCAAATATTCAGCAATACTTACTTAAACTGAAGGCATGTCCCTTAAGATGAATGATTACCACAGGCAATGCAACCACCACTATTATGTTTGTAATCTGAATAAACATTCCCAGGCCTTCCGAAATTATTTCCTAAAAAAAAGAACGAATAACGAATAAAATACGAATTAGCAAAGTTGTTCAAAGAACTTGCATACGACCAATGGCTATCGAGTACCAACAAACCGCATGTTATCGATTTTTGCAATCATTTTCGCCCTCATCGCTGCCAATGCTTCATTCGTCATTCCCTACATTCGCACGGACGTCGTGTTTCTTTGTATGCGTAAAAATTATTTCGTTATTTATTGTAAAGGAAGGCCTAACATTCGTAATAAACTCATTAAAAACACTGCAAACGTGATATATATTTAGTCTAAATTACTCCAATTGCAATCAATTATATAATAATTCGCAACATGGAACTCAATGAAGCAAATTTGCAACTGCTTGCCGGTTATTTGCAACAGACGCTCAGTGCTGATCCAAATGTGCGCAGGCCGGGTAAGTAGTAAGGGAATGTGCCTGTGTGCGTATGTGTATACATATGTACATAGGTGCGCGGGAAAACGGCGGCATCATTAATTTTTTTAAAATTTTGTATCACTTGCAGCTGAAAAGCTGCTCGAATCGACGGAACTGCAGCAAAATTATTCCGTACTATTACTTAACCTAATCGACAAAGCCGACATGGACATGACAATACGCGTGGCCGGCGCCATTGCCTTCAAGAACTATGTGAAACGTAATTGGGCGGCGCATGAGGACAGCAACGGACCGGATCGCATACACCAGAGCGATCGCAACACAATTAAAACCCTGATTGTCTCACTGATGTTACATTCACCGACAGCGTTGCAAAAACAGCTCAGCGATGCCGTTAGCATTATAGGCAAGCACGACTTTCCCAAAAAATGGCCGCAGTTGATCGATGAAATGGTGGAAAAGTTTGCGTCCGGCGATTTTAATATAATCAATGGCGTGCTACAGACTGCGCATTCGCTTTTTAAACGTTATCGGTACGAGTTCAAATCCCAATCGCTGTGGGAGGAGATTAAGTTCGTGCTAGATCGCATGGCTAAGCCCCTGACAGATTTACTGCAGGCCACCATGCAGCTGGCTAAAGTGCATGAGAACAATGCGCAAGCCCTCAAGGTCATCTATAGTTCACTGGTGCTGGTGAACAAGGTCTTCTTCTCGCTGAACTCTCAAGATTTACCCGAGTTCTTTGAGGACAACATGAACACCTGGATGGGAGCATTTATACAGCAGTTGGCTAGCGATGTGCCTTGCTTGCGCACGGACGATGACGAGGATGCAGGCGTGCTGGAACATTTGCGTTCACAAGTGTGCGAGAATATTTGCCTATATGCGCGCAAATACGATGAGGAATTTAAGCCCTACATGGAACAGTTTGTCACTGCAGTCTGGGAGTTGCTGGTCAAGACCAGTCTGCACACAAAATTTGATGCGGTGCGTATGAATGTAAAGTTAAAGATCAGAAGGTATTTAATCACACTATTTTCAACAGTTGGTGTCCAATGCACTGCAATTTCTTTCGGTGGTGGCTGAACGAAAACATTATCAGGGAATTTTTGAAAATCCCGAAATTTTGGCACGCATTTGCGAAAAAGTTGTCATACCCAATTTGGACATACGACCTTCGGACGAGGAATTGTTCGAAGATAGTCCAGATGAGTATATCAGACGTGATATTGAGGGCTCAGACATAGATACACGCCGACGTGCTGCCTGCGATTTGGTCAAGACATTGTCGCAAAACTTTGAGCAAAAGATCTTTGGCATATTCAGTCAGTATCTTGAAATTTTGTTGAATAAGTACAAGGAGAATCCGGTAGCCAATTGGCGTTCCAAGGACACGGCCATATATTTGGTCACATCATGGGCTTCACGCGGTGGAACACAGAAACATGGCATTACACAGGCCTCAGAGCTGGTGCCGTTACCTACATTCTGTGGCCAGCATATAATACCTGAACTGGAACGCGCAAATGGTGAGACAGCGAAATAACTTGTGTCTAAAGTATTGCCTAATTATGTTCGTTTCATGCAGTTAACGAAATACCTGTGCTCAAGGCAGCTGCCATTAAATTTATCATGGTATTTCGCACGTTGTTGGGCCCCCAAACACTGGCAAATTGTCTGCCTCAGCTTATTCGCCATTTGTCAGCCGAGAGCATTGTGGTGCACAGCTATGCGGCCTGTTCGCTTGAAAAGATACTCTTTATGCGCGATAGCAACCAGACTCTTATATTTGGAGCACAAGTACTGGCTCCGCATTCAAATGCTTTAATTAGCGGCCTGTTTGCCACTTTAGCAATACCAGGATCAGCGGAAAATGAATATGTTATGAAAGGTATAACGCGCTACCCTTAACTGAATACAAAATATTAAACAATCCTATTTTCTTACAGCTATTATGCGCAGCTTCCACTCTCTGGAAGGAGCTGCAATGCCTTTTATGGGCGTAGCCTTGCCGCGTCTTACCGAAATTCTTACACTTGTGGCCAAAAATCCGTCACGTCCGCACTTTAATCATTACCTCTTCGAAACCTTATCGCTGAGCATCAAGTGAGTAAATTAATGTTATAAATTGTACATTTTTGTAATTTCTTTTATGTTTGCAGAATCGTTTGCCAAGCAGAAGCCTCAGCGGTTGGTTCCTTTGAGGAGGCACTTTTCCCAGTTTTTCAGGGCATTTTACAACAGGATATTGTAGAGTTTATGCCATATGTTTTCCAAATGCTCTCTTTGCTGCTGGAAGTGCGTGAAGGTAGCGGCACCATACCAGAACCATACTGGGCGCTCTTCCCTTGTCTGCTGGCGCCGCCACTCTGGGATCGATCGGGCAATGTTTCGCCACTTATTCGTCTTATCTCCGCATTTATTAAACAGGGCTCAGCGCAAATTCAAAGTCTGGGCAAATTGGTAAGTTATACTAAATAGTCATTGATAATTTCTTAATATTTCCCCATTTTTTGCAGGGCGGCATTCTGGGCGTTTTTCAAAAAATGATCGCCTCCAAGGCTAATGATCACGAAGGATTTTATTTGCTGCAGAATCTACTCAATTATTATCCTGCTGCCGAAATGCAGACGAACATGCGACAAATCTTTGCGCTGCTCTTCCAACGTCTATCACTTTCAAAGACGCCCAAGTATTTGAATGGCATCATTGTTTTCTTCTGCTTCTACATGATAAAACAGAATCCTAGCTCGTTGGTGCAGCTCATAGATGGCATACAGCCAGGCATGTTCGGCATGGTGCTGGAGCGCGTCTTCATTACGGACATCACCAAAGTCCGAAAAGAGTTGGAACGAAAGATGGTTGCTGTGGGCATCACAAAACTGTTGACCGAATGCCCGGAAATGCTCACACCAGCTTATGTGTCGTTTTGGGTGCCATTGTTGCATGCACTGATTGATTTATTCGAACGACCTGTCGAAAAGTTGGTGAACATAGAGGCAGACTCTGAGGTCTTTGGGGCAGGAGCAGGGCCAGAATTGGATGCAGCGCCCGGCTATCAAGCGGCATTCTCACAGCTAAGTTTTGCACAGCCCAAGGTGAACGATCATGTTGCCGAGGTAAGCGATGTGCGGAAGTATTTGGCCAGCTCATTGGCAAAGTTTGGACAGGCGCGGCCAGGTGAAGTGCCGGCACTGATGGGCTCGATTAATGCAGAGTATAAACAGATGTTGCAGAAATATTGCGATCAAGCCGGCGTTTCAATTGTTTAAATTTCGTTTACACTCAACTCATAGCGTCACACACACACACACTCATATACAAACACACTGTTTATTATTGCCGTGCATAAATTGTTTTTAAATTAATTATTCGATATGATAAAAATTATAAATGTAAACAATAAAAATATGTATGTTTTTAAATTAAAACTCTTAATTTAAAAAGAGGATATATAAGTGTTACGATAGTTTAAAGAATTCAAAGCTCATCTACATTCTAAATATTGAAAATTTTGCAACTAGCTAAAAAGCTGTTGAAAGGATCTGGAACAATTTGAAAATATAGTTGCAATAAGTAGGTAGAATTTAATTTCACGAAATGAAACAAAACTAGCAGTTTATCGGATTAGGTTCTATTTCTACGTTTTGCACTGCTTTGAATTAGTTGTCTAAATGCGTTTTCTTATACCCTTTTTTGTTTTAAAGCACAGCCAAATTCAAATTTCGCAGTTACGTTCTTTGGCACAAGCTCGAACCTCCAAAACCATAATAAAACCCCAACCACAATGTGGCAGCTTCTCAACACGTTCAAAACTCAGTTGCCCAAGTCAACCAACAATGCTTATAAGGCGCTACAGACACAAAGTGAGTTACGTAATTGATAATACATATAAGTATATTTGATCATACCTATAGTATTACAGTCTAGACTACTCTTTTCTCTATTACTTACCATTGCCAGACCCTTTTCCACAGCCAAACAGAGTGATATGTGTACCATAGAATCTGTAGAAAAATCGGTTGTGATAAGAGTCTTAAAAAAATTGGGTCTTAGCTTACAGAGTATCAGCAGCAGTGATGTGTGACCTTCGCCCTCATTGTGGCCACTTAAAAAGAAATACCAGTCAAGGGGATTTATGCGCACACCATATCTGAAAATAGTTTACTGGTTTATTTGAGGAAAATGCACTCTAATAATTATCAAAGCTATACGCACTTGAGTAAATTTTCTAGACCCAAACGCAAACCGCCAATGCAGAGCAGCAGGAAACCCCAGTTGACCAGGCCCGTAAAGTTCGTAAAGCCGGAACTCCATGAGAACAGTGAATCGCGTGGACGATGGCAACTGTAGAAATATGAAAAAGAGAGTAGCATTAGCATTATTTTTTATAGAAGCCAATCAGAAATGAAAGGTTAAGATGGTTTTCTGCAAAACAAGCTAATTACTTGGGTTAACGATTGAAACCCAATATTTGGCTTAGCGATTATTGTGGATTTAAATGTCTTTCGCGTTCATTAACGAGTCCCTATTTTTAACGCGGACTTTTTGATACCCTTTCTATTTAATGGCCCCCTCTTTAGCTTAACTAGATAGATAGAACTTACGGTTTGTCTGGCTGTGCTTTGCGCTGTTTCTCCTCCTTGGTGGTAATCTCCTCGGCCCGCGTCACACTCTGGGTGCGTCTATAGCGCAATTTCTTCTCGCCCCCATTCCCATTCTCATCCTTATCCAGCACCTTGCGGTACTGACGCAAGTCTATGGGTTGGCCGTGCTGGTCGAAAAGATTTTGCGTTGATTTGCGATTGCGCAAGCCGCTCAGATTGTGTTCCGTGGCCGAGGCGGATCTTCTCAGACGCTTCATAATGCCAACGCCACCGTTTTTTGGCTGCTGCGCAGTTACGGTGGACGTCGTCGTCGACGCCGCTGCTGTGGCTGCCAACTTTTGTTCCTTTTGATCTTTGGTTGTCATGGCTGGCTCAGTTTTTCTGTTCTCTGTTCGTATTCACAAGGCTGTCGGAATAGTTTCGAAGTGTTGTATTTTATATTGTACTATATTTACGGTTTGATTTTGCTGGTGGGCCGGCAATCTTATCAAAAATATTTGCCATTAAAAAATGCAATCGCATTTGATAACCGGCGCCGAAAAAGTAAAAAACACGCTTTATAAATAAACTTAGACGCGCGCGTTGAGGTTGAAGGGCAGGCCTGAGGCTCCATTATAAGAGCGCATTATCGGCAGCTGCTAATCCACAAATGTACATACTATTATGTATGTATGTATTTTATATGAACTGCAAATTATAGCTGCTAATAATACTCTTTAATGGGAGCTAGCAGACGATCGTCAGGCACAGCCGCAATAGTTGATCAACGGCTTGCGGTCAAAGTTCTCAAATGTTGTAGTTGAGGCTGTAGGGTATTGCGTACAGACGTTTTAACTTGATAGCTGATTGGGCAAATAGATATTTCCATATGCACACTCACACATACACACATACATAGATTTTTATATTTGATTATTGCAATTTGCACAACTTGACAACTTCACGTTGTTGGGCAGTATGTCGGGTCAGTTAATGTGATTTTAGCGGCTACTATATAACAACCAGTTAGACAGCAAGCACACGATCACACGTGCTTAAACTGAAGGTCCAGATCTGGCTGTGCATGTCTTACGATATGAAAAGTAATTGACCGATTCTGGTTAAGTCTTAAATTGTTGTTATTTATTTGAATATGATATGCACACTCAGTTCGTGTATGTTTCAGCTTTAATTGAGAAGTGCGCCCACAAATTAGCTTAAGTAGACTCTTTAAACTGACATCATTTAGTAGTCGGTTATTCACATTAATGCTTTTAACTCGTTAACCTCGCCCTTGATAATCGTAATTTGAATAGTAGAACAGTTAAATGTTAGGGCCTTCTCATTTCCGAACAAGAACCGGTAATGAATCACAACTGCTACAGAAGAAAAGAATGGAAGCTACAGCACAGAATCATGACATAGGAATCCAATTGTGCAATATTGCTTAAAAAATTCGGTCTTTACTTTGCCAATTGAAAGAGTCACTTGAATTGAAATGCAAAATGTTGTAGTGTTGTAAAATGCTAAAAATGCATTTATGGCAAGAGAGCAGCTGCTCCTCATTTATCGTATAGCAACGGATCGATAACTTAATCTTTCGAAAGGTTTGCCAGAATCCTTTTTTTTACAAAATAGTTCTTCCCCTCGTTTGCGATATGTGGCGCATACTTTCGGTTTGGTTTCAATAAGGCTTTATAATACATAGTAACTAAGATTTGTAATAGATTTTGTCGAACGAAGGTGTGCAGGTGTTTCATCCAAATTGGGTATCACACAGTCTTCGGAAAATATATTTCACGATAGAAAAAAAATGAAGCAACTTACACGGCCTTCCAATAATACGCTCATATAGGAAACAAAATCAACTCAAGGGTTGTAATTTAGATTCTTAGAGCAGTTGGTTCGATTAAATTCAATAGCCTAAATATTCTGGAATGGGATCTAGGAAAATACAAGTTAGAGTACCCAATCTTTGTGTATAAATCTTTCCAAATTTGGAAACGAAGCTTTATTTAAAAAAAACCCTATTTACTTTTTCACAATTCTTTAAAAACGTTTTTTTTTTTTTTGGGAACAAATTTCAAAACAGGTAGACAACTATATGCACTATGTGTATATATATATATATATATTATATATATTTATATGATTATTATTTATATAAATTATTGTGTGTCCAGCTAAAGAAATCGTAAATTTCTTACCGAAAAACTAAATATACGTTTATACATGTAAGCAATTAGCAAAAAATATCGTATTTTTTTAAGAGTAGGCTTTGAAAAGTACATACAAAAAAAGGGTGTTGTAAAGTTATATTATTTGAATATATACATAGTAGGATTTTCTTAAAAATTTGGATCTCTAAATAATATAAAAACATATTATTGCAACACCTTTCAGACACATCAATTATGTATATCAATAATATTTTATTTAATTAGTGAGTTCATTTGCACAGCCAAAAGGCATTTCCATTCAGTAATTTCGGCGCAATTGACTTGTGACGGCTCCCTGATACTATATACTATTCTAATATTAATTGAGGCAGCTATTTTTATACACGTTGTTTTCTTCTAGTTGCACATTTATTTGCTTTTGCGTGGACGTAATTTATTAAATGCTCGTGTCGTTAACAAATAATAAAACACAACTATACTAAAAGTACTGTCGCTACATTTATAAATGAAAGCCACGACAACACAGCTTTCGGAAAGGAACATATACAGTCATAATGTTGTTTCTTTGGAAGGTATTATTTGTGCATTTAGACATGATTTCCAATCGGTTCAGTTTTAAGATTATGTTGGAACATTGTGGAGTTGAAAAAGGAATTCATTTCGACTTTCAAACGACCACTTTTGTGGCTTCACATTTTCCCCGTTAAAACAATTATAATCTTAAATGTTATCAATCAATTTTAATGGAGATGGTGACAAGATATATTTTTGCCAAATATGTCAAGTGAATTCAGCGAACCGGAAGATAAATTCAAAATGAATAGTCAGCACGACGAATAGAATCGATTTAAACATAATCGTATACTTGTAATGCCACAAAAACTTCAAGTTCTTTGGCATCATTAAGTTAATTCTCAACTGATAAAGCAGAAACCATTTATCTAGAAGTTGCTAATAAACTTTACTTGATTTGTAATTTATTTAATTTTGTTTAAAATAAATTTTATATTTATAATTGTAGCACAGGATAGTTGCAAGCTTCTGTTTTTAATCATTATGAGAATTTTTCGGTATTATTGGACATTGTTCTACAAGTACATATAGTTTTGAACCCGGCAACTAAATAATATTAATTTCATTGGGTTATCACCGGTTCAAATAGAATCGACGTCATATGCTTTACGAAACAAACAAAAGATTTCAATTTTTCAAAATACATTTGCTGTGTGACTAGCACAAGAATTTTGTTTTTTCCTGTTATCAGAAAATAAAAATTTAGATTGCAATTGCATTTATTATTAATTGGTATCAATGTACATACATATAAGTATATGCAAGATAAGAAGAGTATGTACATATATAATATTGCGCTTATCATATGAGGCGTTCAAACATTTTTCAAGTGTCTCATAAAAAGTGATAAAGCGCAGTGTATTTTATAATAAAAAGTAAAATGCGTGCATTGAACTGATCAACAGAAGAAGATAAAGCACACGATCTACACATATCAATAGGATTATTATTGATGTGACTGTTGCGTACATATGTATACTACAAGTTTGTATACTATATGTTAACATATATCATATTTGTAGGCACATGTACTGTAAATGTACTTTTTAATGTCGAATCATGCTGACGAGACGTCATCAGAGCACTGACGCTGCTCGATGACTGAGTCCACTGATTAGCTCAGACCCCTCTGAAGCATTTACATGGAGTCACCACCATATGCCTGCTATATAATGTATATATGTGCATGTATTTATAAATGGAACTCGAACTTATGTCTCCCGCATGACTGACAACCTGTGGTTGACTCCCTTCTTTTTTCCTTTCTTTCATGCGACTTCATTTGTTGCATTTTCCGACCAGCACGTTCTGTGGCTTTGCACTTCTCAAGTAGTTTATTGAACTGCAGGCATAAGTGAGCTCTGCATAAGTGGGAATATGGGTTCCGAATGAATAAATTAAAATGTTGGATAATTCATTGTGCAAAAACAAACATTTTCTTTTCATTGTTTTCTTTTGTTTGTGTTGGAAATATGTTTATATGGAAACAAAAATTCATGACCATACATACATTAAAAATTCATCGAAACGTCATATAAATAATTATTTAGAATGTGTACTAAAATAGTATGTTATATTAAAAATCGATTAAAAATTTAAATATTATATACATTTTATTGTATGGGACTTCAATAGTGCTCCTTTACAATACTCAGCCTCCGTGACATAGAATTTACTTATTTTCTCAATGTGGCCGATCCATTGCGTTTTTTTAACATATTAGTAATGTCATAATGCTACGAATATGAACATATTTTAGAAGATGCCCCAAATACCTTTTAAAGAATTCAGATCCGAAGTCAACACTTAAAAAAACGTTAGAAAACCTCCATTATAACCGATGCCAAATGGATGGGTGTTGCTGTCATATCACCATGGCTTATTCCAATAATCCTATCGCGCTGTAGCTTACTTCTTTACTTTAAAGGAATCACTGTTAGTCATCGCTTTTAGTACGAAAACATTGTATTTTATAATTTGAAGAAGGTTTTTTTGATAACTGACTCATTCATTGTTCATAATATTTGCTCAATATGAACGTTTTAAAAGCATAGTAAGTATTTTGTACAGTCTATTAATTCCACTCATGCAGGGCTCTATTAAGAATTGCGCGCTTATTAGATATAGGTAAGTTGTGGTACTTCTATGATGGATATAAAGTTATGTGGTATGGTAATTGATAACTCAGCTATTTCTGATATCGATCCATTATAAAGGCATGTCACTGTACACACACCTATGAATAGCAATTGCCATGAGACCCAAAGTTCAGAAACTCATTGAAATGCGTGATGGCCTTTTATGTTTACAGGCAAATAATTCAAGCACTTGAACAGTTAATTGCACAAGAAATTAAGCAGAAAAGACTGAAACCGGTCCAAAAATATTCAGATATGTTGTGTTTCTTCTAAAAATAAGTAGGTCAGTAATTCGAATCATTTCTGACAGGTTTGCATTTTGAACGTCGCGGGTCTGCCATACGAGCCTGAAATTTGATAAGTCAGTCCAAAACGAAATAAATATAGATGTTCGCCTATTGACGCGCACATTAACGGACCTTTGCTTATCAGCATCTGGCTATTTAATGGGTCATTAAAATTGGCAATACTACATAGGAGTGTCTGGTTTATGGTTTTAATGATACCTAACAATATACCGCTGATAAGGGGAAGGGCAGCAGCAGAATTGGCGAAATGGTTTTGTTTTTTTTACATTGTAAGCGGATGTTGAAAGGCAAAGTCTGGCTAGACGGAGTCTTATCAGTCTGGAGCAGGAATCATTCTTATCAGTTGGAGCCGTCTGACATTTTTGAACTTGATAAGCCGCTAAGCGTCTGCTACATACATACATACATACATACATTAATTTTTCCATATGAAATGGCATTTTCCACCCTTTACGCAGTTCCTCCACTCGCTCTTGCTCACACTCTTTATCTTTTTGTTTTGTACGCTTTGCCCATTTGTTTTGGTTTTTGCACGCGAACCGGTTTACGCTCTCAACTGTTTGTTGTTTAGTTTGGTATTTTCTGTGTTCTTCAAATACACATGTGCGTATAAAATTGTATACATATTCTGTATTGTACACAACAACGGATCAAGGTTGAATTTAGTGCCTATTATCAGCACAGACAGTCATTGGGACAGAGGAACAGGTGGACAGACAGTCATTCAGTCTAATTTATTATTTCCATTCGTATACTATAGTACTTATTTATGCTATGTATATAATTTTCTTGCTAACACAATTGCCATACCCTTTGGTTTATTTTCTCATTCTTGCTATTGATAACTTATCATTCATAAAATGTTTATGGCATTTTACAAACTTATGAGTCATAAATATTTTTCACTGCACGTGTTTCCGCATTCTGCAATCAAAGTTGAAACCAACTTTTCACACGATCGATTTCGAGCGATCGATTTCGAGCGATCTTTTTACATTCTCTCTCTAATTTTGTTTTTGTTTTATTTTGTAGTTTTGCATGCGAATCAACAATAAGCGAAAGCGAAAGGGAGAACAAAATAAAACAGTAAAAGCGTATTTAGCGGTCATTACACAGTCACACACACACACACCCGCACACACAGCCTTTTAGCAGTTGTATTTAAAATTTATTTTTGTTTGTTGTCGCGGTAAACAAAAACAAAGACACCCCAACAGACACACAAATGTATGAATTTATTTGATTAACTCTACGCGTCAACGGAATATTTTTCAATTCAATTTTCTTAACAAGCAAATCACCTACATTTGTTGTTGTTGTGCTGTTATATTACTTTAAATGGGAAATACTCTTTTCCCAGCACTTTTATGCATAAAAAGCCGCACAATACAATCGTATTCTGTATTCACACCCACAAAGACGCATGCAGTTGGTTGGGTAGCGAAACCTGAGAACGAATTCTTTTTATTTCTCCAGCAACGTCGTCTCCGATCCACGACGTGTTGGAACAGACTAAAAAGTCGAGTCGGAGAAGTTGCCGGCAATGGCGCATCATTAGCAGTACGAGGCAGTGTAGTGTTGCCAGACCCGCGCATTTATGTTTGTTTCTGAAAATATGTAATTAACGCATACCTTAAACACCTTAAATGGTAAATAATTTCAATTAGGAAGAACCGTTTTGTTTGGTTGCACAGTTTTCAACGCTAACAATTTGTCTCAAATACGTTCAATGAGTTTTCAATGAGTGCTGTGGATGGAGGAGTACGTTAAATATGATCTTGTTGGTTTCTGTCTGAGCTCTACGGCTTTCAGGTTTGTGCAGTTGCTAAACAAAGTAGATACATATTTATTGTTTCTTATTATTTTCGCGCCTATAAGTGTTTTAACTTTTTTTTTCGAAAGTTATAAAATGGTCTTTTTACTGAACAAAATTGTATTCGATACAAAAACAATCCATTCTGTGTGAAATTATTCCAAATTAATTAATTCCAAATACTGCTGAAAAATTACCGTAATTTCCCCCTTGCGATTGCTAGCATTTCTTTTCTGTAATCTTCTTTCTTTTTTGGACCATCCTGAAGCTTTTTAAAATCTTGACTAGAAACATATTCTGTTACACTCCCTTATTTCGGCAAATACCCATATATATGCTTGAAACTAATCAAATCTAGTAATCATAACCTGTTTAGTTGCATGAATTAAAATATATACTCTTTTATAATATTAAAAAAATACATGATTTCTGGTTTCTTTTTACCAATAGTTATAAGCTTACCTTACTTAGTATTTTACACGCCTATAAATGTTTCAAAATATATACTATAGTTCCTTATATTTATGGCTCAAACTTACTGAACAATTTAGCTATTTAGATGAGACTTAAAAAGGATCTAAAGAGAATACTAAGTATTAAAGTCAAATGCCAGTGTAACGCCAAAATGCATAAAGTTGTTCTTTCCTTGGCCTTGGAGCATTCGGATCCAGGGATTGCTGACATAAACTTTTACATGGCTTGTTATGCTGCTTGTGAGAGTTAAAAAAATTTAAAGAATCTATAATATAATAATATAGCTGATGCTTTCATTCTTCTCCTAGATTGATTCGATCACAAATATTAGTTCTTTATACAAATCATACCATCTATCACCTTTTTGTCTTACTTTCTGCGATATTGAATATAGAATCTTGTAAATCTCTTGAGATCTACTGAGAGATCGACTTCTTCCAATATTAAATCTCCTTTATTTCACATCTTAAGTTTTGTCTTTATTGGCCATTTATTGCACACTTAACAACTATAAAACAAATGATTTTCTTTCTCTTTTCAATTTTCAATTAAATTACATTACAAAACAATACGAAGCAAGTAACGCCCTCATCCATCACACAAGAACTGTGATGGATGCGTGGGGAATTGTGGAAGCACTTAAATCTAGTAACGAATAAATACAATACAAAGTTTTCACTTTCGTCTCATCATGATTCTTTTTTCTTTTTTGTTTAAAGCTGCATTATTTACACGTAAATGTTTTGAGAGTAAGAAAAGTTTCTCGATAGATTTGGTATAGAGCGCAGTTTAGAAAACACACATACACACATAGACTCAAGGTCAATGTCGCCGTACCATGTCCAATTCCGAAGCCTCAGTGTCTGATAGGCCTTCGAGCAAGTCCTCCAAATCATCATCACCATCGTCCACATCATCGACGAATTTATCGATGCGTTTGAGCAATTTATGTTCAGTATCGAACTTGTCTTCTTCCAGGCTGTCTTCGGTGCTATCTTGCAAGGCTTCACTCGCTTCATCATGATCATCTTCATCATCAACATCATCATCTTCATCGTCTTCGGCATTTTCTGCATCGTCGTAGACTTCGTATGAATTTGTTGCATTGTCGACCTTCACACGCGACTCGGGTAATTGATCATAGTCAAAGATTTGCCGCACTCCACGAGGCAGTTCAGTGGTGGTCAGCAACTCTGACCCCGCCATCTCCAAGTCCTCATCATCCAGCAGACTGACAATGCTGCCCGCCTGGCTGCCAATCCGTGGCTCCGGCTGCTGTGGCATCAACTTCGTGCTACTCGTTGTCACTGGCCTCAGGATCGTACTCATCGTGCTGCTGGTCACATAAATCTTATTGGCGGTGGGCGCAACTGTTGGAGCGACAATGTCGTGCGCATCGGCAAACATGTTGTCGAGCAGACTAAGCAGATCTTCCACGCCGCCTCCAGATGGTGCTGCAGGTGGTGCGGGTGGTGCGGGTGTTGATGTGGCAATCGTTGTTGTAGGGTTCAAAATTTTTGGCCTTGACGAGCTGACCGGCAAAGGCTTAATTGTGGTTGTTGTTGATATTGGCCTGGCGGTGGTGGTGCTGGTTGTTGTTGTTGTTTTTGTGGCCTTGGGCGTTGGTCTAGCAGTGGTAGTTGATGTTGTTGTGGTTGTAGTTGTTGTTGTGCTCGTTAGCGGAGTGGTTTTTGTATGCAAATGCTTGACTTGAAAAGTTTCCACCGTGCCGCGCTTCTCATTGGGATCTGCGATGCGCACCACCGGCTCACGTTTCGATATCACCGGCACAATTTTGGGTCTGTGCGGATCCAACTCGTTCTGGCCATAGGTCTTAACCTTCGAATGACCTTCGATAATCAAATACATGGGACCAAGCAGCGGTTTCTTTGGTTGCTTATAATGCGAGAAGAGCGCATCGGTGGTTAGATCGGGGGCGGGCGCAACAGTCGGACGTTGCGCCAGATTGCTAGTCTGTGGTATGAGCAGACGAGTGCTCTGTGTACTGCTGGGCTGGTGGTAGATGGGCTGGGGTGTGGTTGTTGTTGTTGTGCTGCTATATACCGGTGTGGTGGCTTTCGATTCCATCGGCCGGAATCCCGAGCTTGTAACATAATGCTGCGGTGGTGTGGGAGTTATGTAAATGGAGTGTCCATGGTCAGATGTAGTGGCTGCTGTGGTGGGCATCGTAGGCACCGCTATTGTGGGCGGTCCCGGCACAAACGTCACCGGCGCATATGTTGAACTGATGCCGAAAGTCGGCAGCGGCCTATAGGGATGTGTGCCCATCAGATATTTGGTAGCCGGCATGGTGGGCTTCACCGATGGCTTCACCAGCTCCTTTTGCAGCAGCTCATGGAGCCAGGGCTTGCGTGGTGGTGCGCCCGGTGCCATCTGCTTGGGTCCACTCGGATGTGGGTGTATGGCATTGGGGGAATAGCTGGTGGTGCTATGCGTGGAAGTGTGCGGTCGACTGAAGCTGTAGTGCTGCATGGACTCCTGATGATGTGCGTCCGCATAGGAGGACATGCGATTCATGGGGTGGCCAGCGCTGGAGGTGTAGCTGCTGGACATGCCGGGCGCATGCATCCAGGGCGAGCTGGAAGTGAGGGAGGAGGTGCTGTAGAAGTGCGGCTTGTACATCATTGTCGTGGGGCTGTTCAGGTAGGAGTTGCTTGAGATGGAAGGAGAGGGAGCTGCGACCATATTATGGCGATAATCCACATGAGTGGGCTTCATGGGCGAGGGCGCGGCATGCGAGTGCATGGGCGGTGGCATCAAGTGGGTGTGTGGCATATATTGCTGCTGTTGTTGTTCCTGTTGCTGTAGTTGTGGCTGCTGTAGTTGTTGTTGTTGTTGTGGGGCATAGTAGCTGCGTCTGATGGCCGCATACTTGGCCTGCTGGCTGTTCAGATAGTGTGGCGTATGTGGCTGCTGCTTGGAACGATACTGCTGTTGTTGTTGTTGCTGCTGATAGTGTGGCTGTTGATAGTGTTGCTGTTGTTGTTGTTGCTGGTAATGATATTGTTGCTGTCTGGCCCGCTGCTCATTGCCAACGCCCAACAACAAAATCTCACTCTTGGTCTTATTCCGCAACACCTCCGGCGGCAGTTCGTTCTTCTTGGCCTCATTGCTCTTGCTACTGCCATTATTCTCGGCCCAATAGCGCACACGCTCCAATGCTGGCGGGCTATAGTCATAGGTAGGATCCTTTTGCAATGGATCGCCATGGCCCAGTGGTCGCCACTCATTGTTGTAGTCCACACGAGGCGGCGTTGTGTGCGCTGTTTGTTTGTGTGCGAGAGTGTGTGCGTGTGTTGGAAAAAGAAGAAAAAGAAGTGGAAATTTGTATCAATTTACTTTTACATATGCTGCTTTAATTGCCCGTGCAAAATCGAACCTCAGGCTAGGCGCCAAACTCTCAAATCATAACTCGTTAAAGTGTTAACAAATGTTTGCGCCGTCACCTGATGCAGACGAGCAGGCAGGCCTATGACTATGACAAAGTTTATGCGACAAGCTTACACGTTATTATATCGTGAATAGTGAATACTATGTGTATAACACACTAATAACAGACTATAAGACTTCTAAGCTCTTGGTGGGCCTAACTTGTCATCCGAATTCAAGGAATCAAATCAATTTATACTAAGAAGAATATAAGTAGATTTTTTTTAACTTTTTAAAACAATCATTCTCAATATCTCTGCTTGGTGTCGTTCACAAAAATGATCCAGATGGAAAGAACTTAGCTAAAGGGACACTTACAAAGATTGAAAAATATAAGGTTCTGATGAAATAACTCCAATTTCTTACGATCAAATATGGGTAGCGAAAAGCTGTTTACCTTTGCAACTCATTAAGTAATTGATGGCACTACCAAAATATATATTTATAATGCACTTTATAAGTACTGCAGCTTTTGAACCTATCTCTTAAATATATTTACGGCTTAGAAGCTGGTTATTTCATTCCCCTAATGTGTAATGATTAGTTTCATTCTTTTACACAAATATAAACTGAAGAAGTCAATTAATTATGTTGAAGAAAACTGGAAAACTATTGCTATTCAGAAAACAATGATTTATGTAAATTAATGTGGATCTATAATGAATCAATTTAAAGCTAAATCAATACTTGCCATTAATTAGATTCTCAAATGCCTTTCAAATCAGTTCGTTTAACAACAACACTTTTTTTTAATAATTGAAATGCTCTTAGAAGTTTCCAACATTTTGTCAGCCTATCTATATCACAAATATCTCAAAAATGCGAAACGTTTTGGTAATAGTTAACAGATCGGAAACTAATTTTATTTGATTCATCATGAATCTATTTTTAGCTAATTTTATACCTCCCATTAATTAAATTCTCAAATGCCTCTCAAATTAGTTCGTTTGAAAACAAACAACATTTATTTTAAAATTTGAAATATTCCTCTTTTTCAGCCTATCTATTTTACAAATATCTCAAAAATACCAAAAGTTTTGGTAATAAAAGTAGTTAACAGATCAGAACGTAATATAATCTGTTTCATCATGAATCAATTTTAAGGTCATTTAATACCATTTAATTTACAAGTAATACTATTAATTCGATTCTTAAATGCCTTTCAAATCATGCCTTTAAAATCTTATATAAAACTTTTTAAGTTAAGTAAAAATTCATGAAAATCGTATTAAAAGACAGTGGAAGTCCTAATTTTTTACCACACTTCTTGAGACATTCCTGTGCACTTGGGGTATTTGAATCTTCCAACAAAGTTTGGCCTTACTTATAAAATAAATTCTAATAAGTAGATGCAATAGATTTCTCGCCATAATCTCAAAGTCGTCGAATGTAAATATTGTTCAACCATTGGCGCATAAACTTCGAATGCCGTCGAGGCATTAATTGGCTTTAATGCCAGACAATTGGAGGAGGTGTCTGCGTCTAGTTAGGTTTGATAGCAGTGTGCATTTTCAAAGCGTGATGAAGTCTCTGGCACTTCGACATGTTTGCCAAATTAACTCATGTCAGAGGCCAAGCCGCAAGAGTGGCAGACAATGTTTTGGCCAAGACCTGCGCGCCCACCCATAACTTGAGCTGCCTACCACCTACCTGGGTGCCAGTCTGGCGGTAACAACAACTCAGCACTCAAGCCGGCAGAGTCACAATTACGAACCACTTGGGGCCAGTGGAGGCAACAGCAATCAACACAACAAACAGTCGCGTCTGTGGCTCCGAAATGAATGCCAACGCGCTCGCCAGCTTGATTGACTGATCAACGTGCGGCAGTTGCCAACGTTGACGACGATGTTGACTGGCTGAATGGCCGAATGGCTGACTACCTGGCTGGCTGGCAGGCAGGCAGGCAGGCTAGCTAACTTATATGCTGGTTGGCCAGCTTCAGCTCCTCATAGCCGCCTGATAAATTATTAGCTAAAACCAGACAAATCGCTTTCCATTTGAATTTTTCAGTGGTGCGCCTGCGCGCCCAGCAGAGGCCGCTGCCATCACCATCGCCATTGCCATTGCCATCGCCATCGCCTGTTCCATCACCACAGATCAACGTGAGGACATCAAGCGGAAATGCAGCTCATATATCCACGCTTACACTTTTCGATTTGCTGTTTGGCCAATTGCTTTAGTATTTTCGGGTGGGCGCCTTTTAAATTGCTTTGGCTTAAATGCCTTTTGGCAGGCAAAATTGTAGCTACACTGCACAAAATTATTTGTGTTGGTCATTAATATGAAAAATTATACGAATGTAACGACCAGATCCGATCTCTACCATATCATCGAATTTATATTCTTAGAACTTAAGTAGCTCTCTTAATGTAATATACTCATAGAAACGAACACTTGGTTCTCCATTTCTTGAGATGTATGTATGCTCTATTTCTTGAGTTTGCAATTTTCTTTCAAGGTTTTTAAAAAACTACTCTTTCTATTTAAGTCTAAGTCCACTAAACTTGGCAATCATTTTTTTCTTATCTATAAGTATAACAATCATATGAATTTATTTTATCTGTCAATTGGAATCTCTGGATTAGTCTCTTGCTTGCGTATCTGAAATTGGAATCTCAATTGGAATCTCTGGATTAGTCTCTTGCTTGCGTAGCTGAAATGGCAATGAGATCTATTAAAAATGATTTCAATACCAAATTTATATGGGATTTTACGATATATTTAAGCAAATTTTAATTTATAAATAGAAACTAGGAAACTGTTTTCTTAAACTACTTTAGGTAACGCAAACAGTTGACAACCTCTAACATCATCTGGTAGTCCTATTAAACAGATTTAAGAATATTTTAAAGCAAATTAAAGTTTTCAATTGTAGCTAGAAAACTGGTTTTAAAAATAAGGTTAGATAATGCAAATGGTTGGCAACATCTACTTGTAACATCATCTGGTAATTCTTTTACACAGCAGGTTGTGTTTAAAAATGATTGTCAAACTATCACAGTAATCGGAAAAAACTTAGTAATATTTACAGTGCCGCTATAATCGGATGGATATTTCTATTTCTATAAGTGACAACTAACATCTAAATAAGTGTGTATTGAAAAGAGTTGTACCACTTTTTTGTTGACAGTTGCAATAGCCTCTTCAGGCTTAAATATTCCAATCAATAAATTGAATTCTCTACTTTGTGGATTCGGTTTATTGCTTCTGATTGAAAGCAGCCCCCTTAGTATGCTGGTAATATATCAATTGTGTTGCTTTAACACTCACCGAGTGGTGCACAGTGGAAATGTGTTTCAGTCGAAAAGCTCAAGTTTTTCAAAAGTTACTTGTTAATGGTTTTAATTTTATCAGGACAGATAAAGCTAATGTTGATATTTGTTATTGTGTACAGCTAACTATCTACATGCATACTAGCAGCCGTCAATCAGCCATTCAATCACTCAGTCACTCATTCACCGCAATCCTTGCATAATTGCCAGCAAGTCGTTTTCACTTTCGTTTGCACGGAACGCGGACCACATTAAAATACCGCGCATGATTGCGTTAAAATTGTTTGATCTCCTAATGCAGGCCATTAAAATTGCGCCGAAACACGAAAGTCAGGCACCGGCAAAAACCAAAATAATATATATATATATATATATATATATATATATATATATATATATATATATATATATATATATGTAAGTATATATATGAGACCTAACATGACAGCCGCACCGCACCACAGCACAGCACAGCGCTTTGTGGCCATGGCCGGCGTGTCAATTATGGCGGCATTTCGTCAGGCAACAAAATCAAAGTGCAAATCTCTCATATTTGCGGCATTTGTTTCGGTTCATTCCTCTCAACAACTCACCTGTTATTGTCGTCGTCTTCGTGGTCGTCGCATTGGGCGCCAAGACATTCACTTCATCCTGACGCGATGTGGTCGATGTCGATGTCGTTGTCATATCTCCCAGCCGTGGCTGCTGTTGTGGTTGCGTGGCCAAGACCTCGAAGACCTCCTCGCTGGTGGTTGGGGCGGGTGCAGAGCTGAGAAGGCAGAGCAGTGCACATAATATCGCAGTAATGTCGATTTTGTGGCGATCGGTAATCATAGCTGGTGTTTTTGTTGTTTTTGGATTATCTGCAATTGCAAATTTGCGTTTGTTATGCTTTAATGACAGTGCAATGCAGGTTCAATATACTAAGCTTTAGTATTTTAAATAATCTGCCGGTCTCCACGACTGGTCGCGTTAAGGTGTTGTTTATTTTGCGATGGATTAATATTTAGTTCAATGAAGAAATCCATAATATTTTAAAGAGAATTTAATGTTGTCCTTTAAAGGTTTATAGTCTAGCCAAAATTTTTTTCATTGATTGATTGATTTAGTTCAATGAAGAAATCCATAATATTTTAAAGAGAATTTAATGTTGTCCTTTTAAGGTATATAGTCTTGTCAATTTCTTGTACTTTATTGCAATATTTTTGTTAAAAAAGGTGGAACTACAAGTATATTTCATGAATTTGCGCTAAATAGTTTATAGTTTATAGTTAGTTTATAGGGGTGTTTATTTTATATATTTGACTGCAATTACAATTTGTTGTTCATTTAAATAATTATAAATAAATAAGAAACAGTTAAATGAGAACAAATTCAACTTTCATATAAACATTGCTGGCTTTTACATTTTTTAAACATATAAATATAATATAAATAATTTTAATGACAGAACAACGCTTGCCAGCTTGGTCAGCTAGTATTCTAAATAATATCCTTTTCAGTGTCAAAATACGCAAATAATTAGCTTCACAGAACAATCTTTAAATCTCTTAAATGTAAACATACTAAATGGTTTGTCATCCCCAATACTTATTGGCGATTTTTTTTTTTTGTAAAATGGTAAAGTTTCAAAAAATAACTTATTTCGGTGCGATTTAAAATTGGCTTGAAAAAGATGATTAAAAATACAAAAACACTGCGTTTTTTATACTTAGTATTTATAAAACACCATATTGTTAATTTTATTATTTAGTGGCCGACATATAATTCATACTTAAATCTAATTGAAAATGATTTGGAAAACGTTTAACGAATTAAAATACGCGATATTTTTCGAAGAAAAAGCCCTATTTATGCTGATGAGTCTAGGTTACAGACTTTAAAAAACGTAATTTTGAAATTAATTGGAAATTAGTTTTATGAATGAAAGAGTTTTAGAAACTGAATACAAGATAGCATACAGTCTCTGCTAACTAGGAAAGAGCATACAGTACTAGAAGAGTATACCAATTGCCATTAAAAGCGGCAGAAGATTAATCTGATTGGAAAACAATGGCGAATGAATAAATCATAATTGAATCATCTTTGTTGAAAAACTGCTTTTGTTACATATATATATATATATATTACAAATATTCAAAAAGATATAGGTGCCATATATATATAAATAAGCCAATTTATGATAAAACTAAGATAAATAAAGACAAATAATTTATTAGAATGAAATAATAACTATTGGTTTATCAAGTTGCAACAAATTTAAAAGAAGATCTGTTTCGTTTGAAGGTATATAAGAGACTATTTAATTGAGAACAATTTAAGCAACTTAACTGCTACTGTGAGTTACCAGACTGACCCCTAAAACATTATTTTTGTATATCTATTAGCATTTTCAATTAGCAACAATAACACAAAAAGATTTATTTAATATATTAGAAATTAATTTATATATTAATCAATAATATTAGAAAGAAAATTAATTTAATTAACTGCTTATAAATTGAGGACTAATTACCACTTTCCGGATCTAAGAAACACATTGATGTCAAATACAATAAAAGATCAACAATAATGCTAAAACAAACAAAATTTTAATTACTTCACCGAATTCTGTGCTACATACATTTAATTTATTCTCTGAAAACGTTTAACTCGAAAGCACAGTACTGACTAAATGAGCACTACAGCTTAAGCAAATTGTTTACTCAAATTGTTTTTACTCAAATACAAAACGAATGACTGTGGCAACGAACCTGCTAGACACATTGCATATAATTTGAGAAAGCAATGCAATACGAGCTTATCGACGCTTATTAAATGTAGTTGCATAATTTGACAAAAGAGAGAGGTTGTGAGGAAGAGAAAGAGCGAATGAAAGAAAGAGAGAGAGAGAGAGAGAGGAAGAGGAAGAGGAAGAGAAAGAAAGCAAGAAGGAATGAAATATTTTAGTTGCGCCTTAATCACACGCTCGGCTTATATCGTATATTGTGCGGCTGACACGCCTGACAACTTCATTTAAAATTTATTATAATATCACATGCAGGTCGGGCCATAGCCTGGGAAAGAAGTCGCGGTACTTGGGTGGCCCAACGACTGTTGCTGGGTCCCTTTTTTAAAAAGGGGCCACGACATGCGCGCATGCGGTGATGATTCTTTTTGTGGCAGTTGCTGTGCATATCCTTAGGGGGTTTACTTCTTGTTGTTGTTGCCATTTGCTGTTACGGTTGTTGTTGTTGTTGCTGTTTCTTGACTGTCGAAAGTGAAATTTTGTGCAAAATCTTTTGATGCCTTTGTTTTTGCTTTTGCTTATAAAAATTTGCATTTATTTTGCAGCACTGTCTGCTGGTTGTTGTTGTCATTCCTGTTGGTGCTGCTGTTGTTGTTGTTGTGGTCGCTGCTTGTTACATGCCGGTCGGCGGCAATCGTAAAAATTAACTTGATTACTACACGCATAAATAAAGCCATTAAATGGCAAACATCTTGCTCTGGCAGCAATTAAAATCAAATAAAATATGCCAGCGCCATAAAAAACAACGCACATTTACATACAGACACACACACATACGTACATGCATCAATACATACTCGTATGCAATGATGAGTGCAAAAAAAAAAATGCCAAAGAAAAAGAAATGCTTGATAATTACATTTCCTTAGCCAGCAGGTCACAGCTATTACAGGCCTTTAATTTAATTGTTCGTAATAGTTGAGGAAATTACATGACGTACTATTTATGCAGAAAAATAAAACGAAGGCGATCGGATCTGCGCTTATTTAATGATCTTGCTGGCTGTGCTCGTTAAAAAAAAATATTACATATGTATTCACACATCACTTGGATTATTTATCGGCGCGCATTTCATTTTATATTTATGCATAGAAACGTACATAATAGAGCTTTAAGTCCGAGCCAATAACATTATTTAACTTACATTGCACAATAAGAAATGCAATTGAATTGTATTATTTATGTTGTACATCGAGTATTTGCTTATAGAATTTGTAAACATAAATTTTACTCAATTTATATAACGATTTAAAGTTTTATTCGATTAAGCTAAACAGAGATTTTAATAGGAATTGTCATAGTAAAGACACTTCCGAATTCTAAAAAGCACTCAAAGAATAATGATTCAGGCTGATATACTTAATTGGTCCTGTGTATTGCACCAAATCCCAGGACTATGGTCATACTAAAGCTAACATCACACTACGATTTGCGCCTTAAATAAAGAAAACCATTCAGCGAAAAATACAGCAGCTAGATTTTTTTGAAATATCTGTTATATTCTATTAATATTCTTTCAAAATTTATATTTAATTTAATTTTTACATAATTGATTATATAAAATGCACAGATCTGCACTCACAATTGGTCCTACAAAGACCACGTGCTGAACGGCACATTACTTCACTCCATAATGTAGTTTTTAAGCAACGTTAACTAAGTCCTAACAAATTCAAAATTAATTAACGCACAAAGGCGTGACCAATGCGGGCAGTCAATCATATTAGTCAGTCGGCCCGAAATATGAGTGTGCAAAGAATATATATATTTTCAATATTTTATTTAAACAAGAATTAAGCCTTCAAGCCACGTAAGCTGTTTGAAATATATCGATACAATACTGCTTCGTATATTCCAGCGTTTTTGAAAACTTTACGAAACATTAGATATAATTTAAAATAGGGATGAAATTGAATTTATTTAACACAGATTGGTTTCCAAACGCCCTAATAAGGAACGCGACAGTTAAGAATTTGCAGAACTGAAAAAATACTTAGAAATATTAAATGAAAGTTATCAACCAACTTAAGCATGTTAGTCCATAAAGCTTCTAATTTATTTGTCTATTTTCATATTTGAAATCCCATTAATTTACGACGATTTTCTATATCTGTTTGCCACGAAGAGGTGCGTTAAATTAGGTCCATCTTCTTAGGAGTCATTCTGTATACGCAACTCTCTATTATACGTTGATAATTTACAGCTTAAATATCCTGTTGGTTATCATGTGATACTAAAGCATTATGCTAAATAGCTCCTGAGTAGAAGTCACGAAACCGCTGTTTATCACTTCATAACCGTTCATGAACAAAATAAATTATTATAACTCTTATCTGCTACCGGGCCATAACTCTTCACTTTACTCTTCTGTATTCAAATCAGTCAACACCTTGAACAAAAATTTATAAACACCACCCTCCAGCTATGAAACTATGCAACAAACCACATACGAGTATGACTGACAAATGGCTAAGCAAATCCAAACAGCTGCAATTGTGGGACACACTCGAAGCGACAGCTGCTGGTAAGTGGCCAGTTAAATCAATGAACAAACTGAAAAAACTGCATAAAAGCCGAAGCACAAACAGACAGACAGACAGACAGACAGGCAGACAAAGCGACACACAGACGGATAGGCAGACAGACAGACAGACAAACAAACAAACAGACCGACCAACCACGCAGCCAAACAAACTGATAAACATACAAACAAGCGCAACAACAACATGGAACTTGCAGGCCCATTCAAGTGCGCGACACTTTTTATGCGCCACGCATTAAAGCGAACGATGCTGCGTAAATAGTAGCACCAGCGACAACAGCAACAACAACAACTGCAACTGGTCAGTAACAGCAGCAGCAGCAGCAACAACAACAACAACAAAAACAAACTAGCGCACAGATGCATACCAACATGGCAGCGTATTAGCCAAAGACAAATACTAATTGCAGCCAAAGCAGCGCAAAAAAACGACACGATCGTAAAAAAAAGTATTGGATGAAGGCGACAGCATTTGCGGCAGTTAATTTCATTTAAAGAATGTCATCTTCACTTTAAGTGAAAGATAAATGCGCGCACTTACACAAACACACACACTCTCACACGCACACTAAAACAAGAGTTAGGTCTTCAGCATTGTTCAGCATCACGGGGCGTATGAGCGATGCCTCCTCTTACCTGCCAAGTTAACGAGCGTGTTAATTCTATGCGCCAAGAGCGTTTCAAAGCCTTTTCGATTTCGCTTGAATTTATGACCAACATCCGCACATTAAGTCTTGCATTGCAAAAAGTGAATTGTATAAATAACAAATGGGAAATAATTTATTTACGAATCGGTAGTAAATCAGCCGATTGGTTCATTATCAGTTCTTGTCAACAGGAGATATCTGTTAAACTGAGCCACACAGTGAATTTTTTATTGTCAGTTACGGAGATACACAAATCATGCCTCTATTTGACACTAGGCTCTATTTTAGTTTACATAGAAATCTTTTGTGCTTAAGAATGAATCAGAAAGGTCTCTGCTGGTTGTTTCCACGCTATTCAAGTCTCTGGCTTCCTATTTCTTTAACAGCCCAACTGCAATCAATATAAAATCTAGGGTAAAGGATTCGAGCCTTTTTTGAGGATAGCTAACAAAATATATCTGCTTTATTTAACATTACTTTATTTGTAGTCTACCTCAATTCAGTTTAATCTCATTTCTATTTAATTGAGGTTTTATTCGACCTAATTTCAAACCTATCCCTATTTTAGTTTCGATTTCCATTCTTTTTCAAAACTCTCTTTTTCATTCTACTTTACATCCAGTCTTTTATTTTAATTTTATTTTTTTTATTTTCATATCACTTCAATGCGCTTTTAGATTAACATTTTATTAACATTATATTTTATTTAGTTCTACAAATTTTGTATTTTACGCAATTTTTATATCAGCTTTTTAATATTTAATTGTGTTTCTAAGTATTTTAATTAATTTTTAAATTAGTAATCCATCAAATTTTTAAGTACATTACTTGCAAGCGGATGTATGCCTGAAGGACTACATATATGAGCATTAGAAGCAAAGCCAATTGCCAATAGCCTTTGTTAGTTTATTAATAAAACTTATAATATGATTATAAAGAGCCACGACTTCATAAAACTATTGGTATTAAATATAACCTTGCACTTGTCTCTCTCTTTTTAAATACTGCTAGGTTACATTAAGACATTAAAAGGACTTTAAGAAAAAGTACCCAACATAATAAAATAACAACATTTGAATCCAATTTAATATGTTTTTTCTGTGTGAATTGTATTGCCTTTGAAGGACAATTATTTGTTATGCATATAGGACTTTCATATAACTTTCTATGTGGTAATCGCGATTTCCCCATAATTACTCTTGAAAAGCATGATGAAATAACACTAACATATTACAATGCTTATCAAGGCAGAAAACTGGCAAAACCTACCATAAAACGCGGGCTTAAATACGAACTGTAATGGCGTGGAGGGAATGATCGAATTTCGTCTAATCCTTTGCCACTCTTTTATGTTTTTTTTTTTTTTTGATAGCTGTTGTTTGGTTTGCTTGTTGATTAATATGCAATCATTTCCTTTTTCTTGCGATTGTCACAAATCAAAGACACACAGGCCAAGGCACAGGCGCAGGCACGAGCAGAATTGAGAAACATTCATTTCATTCACATTCAGTAAATTTCACTTTTAAGCTTGCACTTTGCGGCGGCCGTTGACAACGATGTCGT